ATTCCAGAGACGTTGGGTTTTGGAGATTAAAAACTCCAATTCCTTTGTAAAGAAGGGGCAAAGGAGGGTTGCTAAAGAAGCAGATATTCCTTCTGAAAAGGCCTCAACAGTTTCTTCTTGGTAGTCACTAGCTGGTCAAACCTCATTCCTTGATTATTTTATTGTTTATCTAACAGAGTACACTTTCTTTGTTGCAGTTAAACCTGGTGCCTGCCCTCCAAAATACATAGCATTCCGTTCAAAGTTTGACAAGTGTAAGAAAGACGCTGATTGTCCACAACAACAAAAGTGCTGTGTTGATGACTACGGATTTAACTGCTTCAATCCAGAAAACGGTACCATATTTATACCACCATATTAGCTGCTGATAACCTACTTTTCCCATTGCCTCAACATTCTGTGACCTTTTAACTGGTCAGTCTGATAATACACATCACAATCCTTAGGAAATAGTACACAAAAGAGAGTCCCCCAAAAAGCAAGAATATATATAATAAAATTGATAATATTATGCATAGGAATTATGATATAATGTAGAATGGTTATTGAAATTAAATATTCATATACAGAAAAAGAAATATACTTCCATACCTAAAGGATCATATCTCTTAGGACCTCATCACATTGGGGTCCAGCTCTATCCTAAGATGCTTCCAGGATGGAGCCAGGACAGAGATTCCGTCCTGGAAGCATCCTAGGACATAGCCTTGAAAACACGGGGGGAAGTCAGGTGGTGATGCTTTCCCCTGTGTGATGAGAAAAGTGGCGATGTGGGGGATGGAGTTAAGGTTTCCCAAACTGCTCCATGGATTTGCCACACTGCCATGTCAACCAACCCTCTCCCCCCCCCCCCCCCCCCCCCCCCTCGTGCTGTCGTTCCCGTTAGGGACCTCCATGTGTTGAGGTCCTTAGTATTATAGAATAATAGAATAACAGAGTTAGAAGAAGCTGAAGAAGCCGAAGGAAAATGCCTAAAAGTCTACTGCATTGATTTGGATTATATGAGTCTACACGGACATATAACCCCGTTTAATGCAGTTAATCTACATTCTCTAAGTGGATTATATGGCAGTGTAGATCCAGCCTTTGTCTAACTGCAAAAATGGCAGGCTTTGCATTTAAAATTCACAATTTAATGAATGTTTTCCAATATGATGTATCATGTTTATGGGATTGCATGTATTTCTTACAGATAAACCTAAAAGCTGCCCCCCTGCGGACATTTTTAAATGTGCTAAGCTTGAAAGCTATGATTGTAATAATGATTCTGAGTGCCAGAAAGCCAAGAAGTGTTGCTTCTCAAAGTGTGCCTTGCGCTGTATGGAACCACAATAAGGTATTTGAAACACGGAATGAAGGTGGTTATTTTTTACTCGTATCTAGTGGAAATCTGCATTATAAATGGGAAACAGGTGGTTTCAAGGAAAACTGGAAAGAGGTTGTTTCAAGTTACCCAGCAGAGTGTGCAATCAATTTACCATTCTAAACATTAGTTCCTATCTTTGTCTGCCCAGTCATTTCTGATAATTGGGATGAAAGTTGCAATTTTCCAGTTAATTGAAGAGGAGCCACTATCTGACATAGCAGCCCCCGGTGGCACAATGAGTTAAACCCTTGTGCTAGCAGAACTGAAGACCGACAGGCTGGAGGTTTGAATCCGGGGAGAGTGCGGATGAGCTCCCTCTGTCAGCTCTAGCTCCCCATGCAGGGACAGGAGAGAAGCCTCCCATGAGGATGGTAAAACATCAAAACATCTGGGTGTCCCCTGGGCAATGTGCTTGCAGGTGGCCAGTTCTCTCACACCAGAAGCGACTTGCAGTTTCTCAAGTTGCTCCTGACATGAAAAATAAATAATTAAATAAATACTATCTTGCATGAGTTCACAATTCTTTCATCTTGTGCAACTGGTGAAAACTGTTTGTTAGGACCTCTTCACATGGCCCTTTTGCACCATTCAGTTATGCCAGCAGTTGCATGGGGTTGTTGTGGCACCCCGTACAGGTGGGGACGGGACAGGTAAAAGAAAGGGTGGCAGCACTCGTTGCCCCCGCTGCCCATTTCCCCTTCGTATGGTGGTGGAGTAAGTCACTTTCAGCACTTCTCTCCACTTTGGGGGATGTGAGTAGGATCTACCGAGAATCGTCTGATGACACTCGGTCTTCTCCATCCAGACCCGGTCAAAAACTGCAAAATAGTGAAGAAGTCCTTAGTTTGTGGAACTGAAGAAAGATCATCCCCCATAATGTGTACTAACTTTTGAAAGTCCACTGTTTTTTAAACCTCCAATTGCCTTTTCTATTTGCAGGATCTCTTCCTCGGTACCAAAAAAAAAGCAACATCACTGGTAAATACAGCATCTCCACAATGTTTCCAGAGGATGCTGTTAATCTGGTGAAATGAATCTGAACATGCTACCAATAAATTACCTATGCTATAGCTTTATCACTTCCTTTCTTCTTTGTGCAGTTGTATATTCTTCTGTCGTGTATGTCCAATAATGGTTGCCCACACCAATTAAGCAAGTAACTAATGAGTTAAAAACCTAGAAGTCCATTCCATAAAACCGTTCTCAAGGAGCTGTAATGTATCCCTAATTATAAACCAGATGGTCATGAATGCCATATTTAAAGGAAGTGACAAAGGTTAAAAATGACCCAGAGAGAGGCTCCTGAATTACCTTATTATTTCTTTAAAACATCTTCTGGCTCTACTGCAGGAGGAGTCTTGAAGCAGAAGTCCAAATGTATCAAGCAATGTAGGATTCTGAACTAGATAAGTTAAGGACATTCACTGAACAACTCAGTGATGAGAATTAAGGACAAAGGCAAGATTGCTTCCATTAAAAATGGCAGCCCTGCTCATGTGAGAACATGCTATGGCCACAAAACACAAGGAGAAGAGAGTCATACAATGAAATGAAGAATAATGTCTTTACACACCAGAACATGGATGCCCATAGGAGTCTTTTTCAGGAAAAAGAGGGCAAAGCATATTTTGAGAAAGATGTCTCCCATCATCTGGTAAATCTACTGACTTACCAAGGCCTTGGTATGCCTGTTGTGGATGCAAACTAGAGCTGTCACTCCAGCTTTAATCTAAACATTGTCCATCACTCTATACCATGAAGCATACTATATTTCTTGAGCTTTTATTTTCCCCATGCCGAATCAGCTGTCACTATGGGGCTATCTGAAAAGCTCTGCAGCTTTTGAGGGAAAGGATAATCTGGAACCCAACAACTTAAATCTGATCTAGACCCAGACTGCACTATATTCTAGTATCTGATTCCAGATTATCTGATTTGAACTGGATTATATGAGTCTACACTGCTAGATAATCCTGTACAAATCAGATAATCTGGGACCAGATCCTGAGATATAGGGCTGTGTAAAGCCAGCCCCAGTCCAAACTGTACTGAATCAAGCCAATTTGCTATGGAATCTGGCCTTAGGATAAACAATTTGGATAACCTTATTGGGCAAAAGTCTGAAATCCCACATAACATTTGGAGCTACATAGCTACCAATAACTTTAGGAACTGGCCTCCCTCCAATCCTGCTCAATTCTAGGAAGCCACCCCAATTGAAGTCAAGTTGACCATTTACAACTAATGTGGCCACTTTACCCTGCATGAGGTCATAAATATGCAGTTGAATACAGTAAAGTTGGAGATCTCTAATCATAAGTTATGAATCTGTAATTGCGATGCAAGGAGGCAGCCAACATTTAAAAGTTACATCAAAGCAACATAAAATAGATGAAGGACTTTATTGTGCAAAGCTTCTCTTCCACAGCAGTTGCACGATTACTGATTATCAGCTTCATATCCACATTATCACACATTTCACCATTGGTATTTCTGTGCCAATTCACCAGTCTGTAACCACACATTGTACCTCTATATATTCCACCTTCTTGCTCTTCTTCTGCTCCATCATTTCTTCAAAGATTTCACTAGGCAGATGGGAACATGAAGTTGTCAGCTTTTGATGGGTTTTGCCCATCAATAGCAAGTTAATCATGGGAAAGGGGCAGATTGACAATGGGATGTACATAATGTTGCACAAGAGGGACCATCGCCAAAAGTAATGTCTCCCTTGTGGGTGAAGTCTGAAAACCATATAGCAACATGTAATCATTTTGTGTTTATGTGTTTGCACTCAGATGCCAATTCCTAGTATTAGAATAAGGCTGTAAATTTACATCTGTTTTCATGGGGAGGGCTAACTTGCCAGTAAACAGAGGGAAACAACCACCACAAAAATTATGAACAATTAGCAAATTTTAGTGTAAAGAGTCACACTGGTGGATCTGGAGATTCCCAGAGAGAACAATTTAATCAAACCCACAAAGTCATACCCGTAAGTTTGGAGGGCTGACTATATTTGCTATGATTACAATATTTCAAGATTGAGAAGAAGGGCTGTTCTGCTTCAGGCAGCAAAATCTCTTTGGTCAGCCCTGGCTAAAGGTTAGCACTACACACGGTTGTCCTACCTGTTGCTGTCCTGTTTTTACCTTAGATATTTAAAGAGCTGAGTCACTTGAAAGTGCAAAATGAGTCTGGAATGCAGAGTGTCCTGAAGAAGTAATCAGTTCCTGTTCAACAAAGTATGTGGAATTTCCCTTTTGTGGAAACATTGTACCCAAACCCATCACAAACACCTCTCAGTAATGAAAGATGACATGTTTCTGGATGACCTTGAGTTGGGAATTGGAAGTCACTGTATGCAAATATCAGAGCTTGTAAAAAGTCACTTTTTGAACAACACTTAAAACTGTAACGGTCATGGGATTCTCTGAGTCGTAGTTCAAAAGGTGATCTTTTCAGAGTTCTGAGTATGTGTATGTGATGAATGGGTGTGTACATGATGTCTAGAAATGCATGAGTTGGGCATGGTAATTTGAAGTAGGACTCCKCCCCCCCCCCCCCCCACTTTCAACAAACTTAAGTATTAGGCTCATTCAGACAGGAACAGTTTGGACCCATTTGTGAATGGACCATGAAGATGATCTGCACCATCTTCCTTGTGGGGTTCCTGACCCTTTGGACAAAGCTGCCATCTGTTTCAGGCTTGCCTCCAATACGTAAGTCATGAGATAAATTTAACCTGGAAGAGAAATAGCAGTTCAGTACAAATTCCAAAAACTGATATAATAGGAATGGAAGGAAAAACATTTTTCCTGATTCTTCAACAGTTTCAATTGGAGGGAGGTCTTCTTAAGCACAAAGGGTCTGATTACCAATTATGTATGGGTTTGCACCTTCCTCTCCCCCCCCCCCCAATAATGTAGCTTCTTTGAGTCCCACATGTGGGAGAAAAGCGGGATATAAATAAATAAATAAATAAATAAATAAATAATACAAGGGTTATCCAGAAAGTAAGGTTACAAGATTTTTTAAATACAAAGAATGAATATATTTTAATAAAACATACATGGATTACAACATAGGTATTACATTATTTTTCCACATAATCACCGTTCAGCTCAATACATTTTGTCATCCATGCGACACGTTTTTTGATACCTGTGTCATAGAAGTCTCCTGCTGCCTTTTTCAGCCAGTTCATCACTTCAATTTTCAACTCGGCATCAGAAAGTGTTTTCCACCCAGGTATTCCTTCAGTTTAGTGAACAGATGATAGTCACTGGGTGGAATATTGGGGATGTGAGAGGGGTAGCTTAAAACATCCAACCAAATGAAGTCAACAACTCTTGTGTTGCATGAATGGTGTGTGGCCTCGCATTGTTATGAAGGAGACAGACAGAAGGGAAATGGAATGAGGACACTCATGTCTAACCTTCACCACAACTCCAGTCAATGAGCTACTGATGACTGACACTGCTCATTCGCTTCTGTTGACTTCCCGCTACACGGCAGTGATACCAATTTCTCCTGTGAAAATTCCCCACAAAAGCTGCATGCCTTTCCAGTAACGCTTGTAGTATAATAAAAAAGAAAGCATTCCATAATCCAGATTTCTGCGCCCCCCCCCCCCCCGGAAGAAATCTCTAGACCAACATGAGGGAAAACTAGGTCATTTTTGCTTTGATCTACTGTATTTCCTCCATGTTTTTCCATCACTAGTTTCACATCAAGAATATATCTACAATTCATGATTATAGTCAATCCAGATTATCTGTGTTGAACTGGATTATATGGCAGTGTAGAAAGGACCTAAGACTTGTAACACCTTCTCAAGTAAGTTGTCAGGAGAATCTTTGGAACAGTATCTGATATGTTTGGAGAAGCTAAAAAGATGGTAAGAAGAGGTTGTGAAGTGGGGTCACGGCATATTTTGCTTCTGGATAGCTTTGTGAATTCTCTTTGTGAATAAAACAATGAAAGTGCTATATGGAGGAACAGGGGGGATACATCTACTTCCCGGTAACAGTGTGTCTCTCTGATCTGCTTTAATTGCATTTGTATTGAATTTTAACATATATTATTAAGATCTTTCTAAAATGTATTTACCGTATATGTTTTTAATTATATCCTGGTTGTTCTATTCCTTCATGGCTTGTTTGTATTTCCCAACATGGTGTATTCACATTTCTGAGAATATGTGTTTAAGATGTATATAAAGTTTTATTTCCTTATGGTGTGTTGACTATAATAAAGGCTTGAGAAAGTGAGCTAAGCTAAATATTTGCTTTGGATCTGCTTCTTTTCTTGTAGACAAAGTGGGAACATGCCCTCCAAATCCATTTCGCTGCTCTGTGCCAGGACATAATGCTTGTAATATTGACTACGACTGCCCAGGAATCAAAAAATGCTGTTATTGGAATTGTGGCAAGATCTGCAAATATCCACAAGGTATTGTGTGTTACTACAATATATTATTTCCTAGGGATGTGAAGAATAATTGATAATTCATGCAAACTCAATTTTAGAAAGAGTGTCTTCAGCACTTGAAACACTTCACAAAAAAAAAGGAGATCACTTGAAGGCTTCACTGGAAAATATTTGTGTGTACAAGACAACAACAACAAATCAGTTTGCACAAATATACATGTTCTTGCATTGAAATTTCACACACAGTTTTCCTGCATTTGTTTTCAACGCTTTAAAAAATCCTTTCTGTGCAGGGATCGTTATATTATTTACCCCACACTGATTGTCTTCAAAGAAAAAAAATGAGTGGTATCTTTCTAGCAATGTGCATGTATGTAAGCATGGCTTACACTTCTGGATGGTTGTTTTTTGACATGGTGAAGGAAGCAATTCTCTAGCCCTTGGACCTCTGTCTAGCCCGACCAAGCCCTGGGAGAAGGTCCTCCTCTTCCTATTTACCAGTGAGAAGGGAAAAAGGAGAGGGGCAATTCCAACCACAAAGATGTAGCTAATGTAGTTTCCCAGAGGAAGGTAAAGGATGGTACATTAACAATTAACCACTAACCAGGATGGTGTTTTCTTTCCATCCTTCCTTCCTTCCTTCCTTCCTTCCTACCAGTAAGCAGCAGTGGTGACATAGGATTTGATAGGTGCAAGGAAGTGAGAGAACACAGCATCTTCTCCAGCTGCTTGACATAGGCTCTCAGTTCATATGTAGTCTTGCTCAAATAAAAGTTCTCCAAAGTATGAATATTTATTTATTTATTTATTTAAAACATTTATATTTCGCTCTTCTTACCCTGTAGGGGACTCAGGGCGCAACATATATATGGCAAACATTCAATGCCAGGATATAAAACCATAAATATATACAAACACTAGCTGTACCTACCACGTATTGCTGTGGTCAACCTTCCCTCCCTCTTTCTCTACTTCTTTCTTTCTCTCCTTCCTTTTTTTTTCTTTCCTTCTCTCCTTCCTTCCTTCTCTTCCTCTTCCCTTCATTCCCTTCCTTTTTTCTCTTCCTCTTTTCCCCCTTTCTTCCTTCTCTACCTATTCTTGGACTGCAACTCCCAGCAGTCCTCCTGATCAATGGATCTCTCTACCTACCTACCTACCTACCTACCTACCTCCATCTAATCTATCTATCTTATCTATCTGGAGGATTGCTGGGGGTTGGAGTCCAGGAATAGGAAATTGGAAATATGCAGGTATTGGGATGCTCTCAAAGAAATCCAAGGAGAAGAAAGCTTGCAGCTTGGAATCAGTGTATTTGAATCATCCTCCTCTCCTAAAGGGCCTGGTCTAGGGGATGCTGGGAGCTGTAGTCCAGAAGAGAGAGTGGATATGCTATTGTGTGTTTTGTTTGCCAGGGAGAGTCGTTTTGCGCATGTGCTGCAGCATCTTTCTTCTTCTTCTTTTGTCCCTTCTGTTGTGTTTTTCAGTGTTTTAATGAGTGATAATCACTCATTGGTCTGAGAGATATATTGTGTCCAAATTTCGTGTCAATTCATCCAGTGGTTTTTAAGTTATGTTGATCCCACAAACGAACATTACATTTTTATTTATATAGATTAAAATAACTTATATCTACTTTAAAATCGAATAATATTTGAAAGCGTCACAAAAACACTAATATCCTCATGAGCAGGGTGGGAATTGTTTCTTCTTGTTCATAGGTATGAAATAAGGAAAGACTTATGTTCCGATTTCTTCCATTTTGACACCTTGGTATGCTGTACAGTAGTCTATTACTAACATGTGACATATTTCAAGTATTTAAGCTCATCAAAGTTCAGAAGTAGCCTTCCTCTTATTCATTGGCATCCCTGTCTTGGAGAATTGATTTCCCTCTGCCAACCTCGTTCCAGGATCCATGCTTTATTGGATAAAAGCTTCTACTGTCGGGTGTGATAACTGATAACATATTATTCTTGAATCTTAAAAACATAACATCAGTTTATTTTATGTATTAATCTGCAACACATATATAGCAGACACCTTGCTTTTGATGTCTACAATTTCTGCTGTAACTGCCACCATTTCATCTTATAGATTTCTGTTTCTTGTCCTTTCGTAAAGTATTTAGAGTTCTCTGACAAACAGATCTAGTGCTTCCCCAAAACTGCAAATCCTTGAATTCCACATGATGCAACCTTGGCAGTTACAGTTGTATCAAAATGCTATATTTGTGTAGTATGAATAGGTTTAGGTTTCATGTTTACTTATTTCCTTTTCTATTTATAACCCAGCTATTTTATTTGCCTTCTTAAGGCTCAGACTACATGGCTCTTTGAACAGAGAAATAGAGACCTTGCTCCATCTGTCATTATTCATACCATTGCTTTTCTCTGCTACAGATAAGCCTGGCAGCTGCCCAGTCCTTCCTTATATCTGCTCAATCCCAGGAGGTGATGTTTGCAACCATGACTATGATTGCCCAGGAAACCAAAAGTGTTGCTATATAAGCTGTGGGAAAAAATGTGCAGCCCCATGACAAAGTGCCAGCGGTTGTTGATGGTATGGCTTGCATCTCACTTCTGTCTCTTTCCAAGTGCTTCAAACCAAAGACATGGAAGAAATCAGAGAAAAGGGTGGAAAGCTTCCCATTTTGATTTTAAATAAGCCAGATTTTCTACAATTGTGCCATAATTATATAATAATGCATGGCCATTTTAAAGTACTGTTCTAGGTTTGATTTATTTTAGACATGTTGTTTAGGAGAGTCTTGTACAACCTAGCAGCCTCCACATTTTGTATTAGCTTACTATGAGTCTATTATGCTTTGTCTGATGGAATATTTTGTACAGCCTGATTTAGCCTAATGGGTATTTGCTCCCGCTGGCCTCTAAAGCACAGACACCCTCATCCCCAGCCAACATGGAAGTCTGAATACATACCTATTTGCAGGCTACTTTTAAAAATTACCTCCTGTTGCACAGGCTGGCAGATAAGGGAAAAATTGAGGAAAGGGCTTCTCTTCTTCCACAGGCAATACAGAAACCAAGAGGACTGGCAGAGTAATAATGGTTAAATCTGTCATCCATTGCCTGCCTTCATTGTATTTAATAAATCTTTTCATTCACATATGTGGATGTCCTGACCACTTTTTCCTACCACATCAATGGTTAAATATACTGCTGCAGGTTACAAATACATGGATGCAATGGCAGCTCTTACACTGTTATTCCTAAACTCTCAGGATATTCCTTTCTATTGAGACGAAGGACTTCATCAGACAGACCTGAGGAAAATGTGAGAAAGCAAGGGAAATAGTCTTCTTTGTGTGTGTAATTGTCTCCTTTACGTGCTGTTCCATCTTTAAAGAAGACAGAAAATTTACTTACTCCCATCACACAGGATCGCCTCCTCCCAGCTCAACCATCTGCTTAGAGGAGACAGGAGGCATCATTCTTCACCATCTCTCTGCATGGGCTCTTCTGCACTCAGGAGACATCATTCTTAAGACAGGCTCCATGTCTCTGAATGGTGCCTCTGCTTTCCCTCCCAATCCCTTACTCTCGAGGAGACAGGAGACATCATTTTTAGGCAGACACTACTTCTCTGGGCTCCTCTCCTTTCCCTCCCAATCTCCTTATTTTCAATCATGCAAGTCTGAAACCTACAAAACACTAGAATTACTGTAGTTGGTAAAAGAAAGGGAAAATCGAAAAGCTAGCAATACCACCATTTTGAAAACCAAGATGACTATGAAGGAGAAATGACAGGGAAAAACAAAGTGGTGGTATCTTGAAATTTCAATATTTTTAATGATTCAAATATATATTTTTAAAATTACCATGCCAGGCTCATGAAGCAGGATATTGGGAGAGAAATTTCAATGCTTAGTAGGAGATCGGCCAAATGAATTCCCCTTACTTCACTTTACTGAAGCAATTCGACATGGGCAAATCTGAGATATCTCATCCCATGTCTATCCCTCCACTTTCTCTCATTTGCACATGAATCATGAGCTCCTGTCTTCCCCCACCCTTCTTAATACTTCTAAAAGTTCCCTGACAAAGCATCATGGACAACCGGTTGAAACTCTGTTTGCGTCATTTGATGGGCTTGCCGGGGAACTGTTTTAGAAGTTTGTGGAAATAGGCGTGGGGGAGGGGATTGCATGTGATTAGGTCCTAATTCATGAAACCAAACAGATATTACATCTATTGTGGAAAATACCATGGAATTAATTTCTTTAGCATAGGCAGCAAAAGGTAATCCAAGAAAACCCTCTTGTGATTTCCTTATAAACAGCCTATCTGTTTTGAAAGAATTATCAATGGCAGGAGTTCTTTGAATCTCATTCAGAATTAAGCTAAAGAAAGTGATTGTAAAGGGGCTTCTTAGAAGAAGCAACAAAAGAAGAAATACTTCAAATGCATGATTAGAAGCAGTCGTATGATCCTTGTTTCTTCTTAAATACAATGGGCTGGGTTTTTTTAAAACATTTTAAATTAAGTTTTTATTTTAGATATATCCATTTGTTGGGTAAAGAATGCTGTCAGCAAATATAACAACTTCATGCATAGAACCGAACCTACTGGGCTATATGAAGATGATATTCTAGGAAAAGAAGGATCACACTACATCATGTTAGCATTAAATTACTGAATTCTGTCATGATCCAAACCACCATTCATGCTTTTGCTGTTTTTTCCAATAATGCTTAGCAATGCTGAACTATTTGAAAATAAAATTCAGTTTCCTTAAACCTTGGCCAATCTCATTCTTTTGGTCACTAAGAATTTACTTTCTTTGCATTACTTTTTCTGATGAAGGGCACCATAGATGAAAAAAAACATTTCCAATTAAAAATCAAACCATCATTTTAACTCTTTTCTATATTTTATTCAACCTTATATTATTTTCTACATAAGGTGAAATGAAAGGAAAACAAATAATATGTGGGTATTTTCTGATGCCAATAAATTCTAATATTCCAACCATAGTGAGTGATCTGAATTTCTCCTATTTGGGGTCTTGATACATCAGCTTTACTACATCCTGATTCACTGAAAGCAGCATCGGGCATTTGTTTTCTGAATATGTTACATTGATTTGAACATGATTTATTTCTTTCGTATCAAAGGCATTGCATATATAAGTATAAAACTGATAATAATAGAAGGTGCACAAGTGGCTAAATAATTTTTTACCAAAACCGGGAAACAGCAACCGCATCATCTTTAGCTTTAAACCATTCTTCCTCTGTACATGGGACAGAGCATTGTGGACAAGCATACAGGTGCTGAGTTGTTTGTTCTGTTCCACAGTCACACAAGATGGACAATTCGTTTAGGTAGTTTCATTTTGTCAGATTGACTTTTGATCTGCCTACTCCACTTCTAAGTCTGTTCAGGGACTTCCAAGTTGACCATTCTTAATATAGTGATGGTCTACCTCAAACGTCAATCTGCCTGTCTCGTTCGATAAAATCCTACATCTCAGGATTGCTTGTGCATAAAGTAAAAACTACAGCTTGGTTTCTAAATGATGTTAATCTGAGCAGCTTCCTAAAACTTTAGGTAGCACGAGATCTTTTGCTCCTCTAGAAAGAGGATGAAGTACACACCTATTGTTAAGATTTTAAATAGGTTTCTCCCTACATGCAGCAACTTTTAATGGCATTTTTAACATATAAGTAATGCTTTAAATGCCACTATGTTATCAAATTTAATTGGCAAAATAGCCTTGGTAGCATGGTACATAAAACTTGACACACTCTTTCTATAAAGTTAATATTTAAAAAGTTGTTTCCCATTAAATCCCATTTTGGTATCACGTGTTTCAGCATTGAAAACTGCTTAACAAATGTTCAATTTTATTCAGTACAAGCATACATAATTCAGAATGCGCTCATCTTTTCTACTACCCAATATTTGTCTTGCCTTGGAAAAAAATATGATCACTAAGTGCAAAATAAATTCTAATAAACTGCACAACTGTGTGGTTATCTTCTCTGTTTTATCAGTAATGTGCTGAATATAACAAGATAGCGAAGAAATAACTTGACTCCGTAATCAGAATGAGTCATGAGGCTGCATAAACAAAATTCAGTTATATTTATTTAAATTAGCCATTAGAGGGAGGTAGAGAGTTATTTTTCAAAGCAGTGTTAGTGGCAATCATGAAGTTAATAGATACCAAAGAAAGGGGGGGGGGGGACTTGCCGTCAATCATATTAGTAAAATTCTTCATACTGTTCATATTCAGACTATTTTAGCTTCTTGATTTTATTAGATTGGAAGTAGACAATAGTACTACAGAATACAAAAAACAAAACAAAACAAAACCCTAACGTTAGGTTGTGTCGATGGATTTCCAATTTAAAAGTGGAAAATCTGTACAATATTACAAGGCAGTGGTGGGTTTTGGGGGGGGGTTGTTTAATTGGGAGATTTAAAACATAGTTTGTTGTGCAAACTATTATAGAATCATTGTATACTTGAAGGAAAGTAGGGGATAATCATTTGATGGACATGAAGCATGTCTGAATAGCTTCACATCCAAATACAACTACTTTCAAGATATGTACACTTTACTACATGAAAACTGAATCCTGTAATATGCATAAATGGTGCAGTTTTAACAAAACATGTTAATACACTTCTTGAGAAAGGGTGAACAGTATGCATCAAGCAAGCCAATGGCATTATACAATTTAAAACAAATGACAAAATGTTTTTCCTGCTCATATCAAGACTGTGGAAGAATGATGGAATGTCATTCTTCACTACATATAGATACAGGGAACAGGATTATATACAGCCTCTACTCCAAGATGCTACAATTACCCCGTGTCTCCCAATTTATGGGATTAGGGACTATATAGTCTTCAAATAGTCTCTACCAAATATTGAGTGAGTTATCGGCACGTTGTCAGGATTATCATATATGTTGGCACAGGTTACTAATACTGCTTTCATCTAGTGAGTTTTCCAGTCAAGGAATTTCATTTTGGTCTAATTCTCACCAGAGGTAATTATCTGCCTGCATATAAAACAGAAATTTATCAGAGACGGTCCTGCTCACTATTCACGCTGATTTCTCTGCCCACATCTTTCTAAATAGATGGATTCAAAGGGTAGATATTTAAAACACAATCTAGGGAAATCCAATGGAAATCTTTTAAACTGATGCAAAGAATATAGCGTACAAAATGTTTCTTTAGTATCAAGCCTCAACAAGGCTTAGCAACCTTATATAGGAGGGGTAACTCAAACATTTGACTATGTTAAGGGACAGGAGATCTTAGAAATCACTCCCCCTCTGAGGATTTACATTCAGTGAAGACTATTGCTTCCTTCTCCCACTGCTGCTGTCACCTTCCCAAGAACTGCAGTGGTGTTTGGTCACTTTATGACAGTGGTTCTCAACCTGTGAGTCCCCAGGTGTTTTGGACTACAACTCCTAGAAATCCCAGCCAGTTTACCAGCTGTCAGGATTTCTGGGAGTTGAAGGTCAAAGCATCTGAGGACCCCCCAAGTTGAGAACCACTGGTTTATGATCCCGGTCAAAAGGACTTGCTTTAATTTACTTCATTGGTATGTGTTTTTCACTTTTGGTGAGATCAGTCTTTGGTGTTTTTCTTTTTCAGATCACAGATGAAATTCTTAGGGCTCTGAATTCCTCCACTGAGAACCCAGTGTCAGTTGGGATTGAGCAGTCACAGTATGTTGACTGGGATTATCTCTGACAGTTATTTGTTTCCCGTGGCATTAACTTCAACTGTTCGTTCCTAGAGAAACATATAGGAGTGGGCACTAAATGATCTTAAAGTGGTTTCTACCAAAGGTTGGGTGCCTTATTGACATATTGGGAGGTTTGCACAGACATTGAACCAAGTTTCTAATACTGCCTTTATCTAACATGTTGTCTAGAGTACATGAGAATGTCATCACCTTATGAACATGGCTGGTTGTTATTATTATCAAATAAACTTGATCTAAACATGGTGTGTATACTTTTCTGGTATGCTGCACTGATCCATTGCACATGGTTTTGCTTGGAGCAAAAGGTTTTTTTTTACATTTTGAAAGTGATAGTGGCTCTCCCCATGTGCACCTGTCCAAGATTAAGTACTTAATCAATGCACTGTTTAAGGGTATGAGGGAATATGCCGCGGAATGCCCTTCCCAAGAAAACTTGACTGGAACCAACATCATCCTCGATATAAGGCAGGGAATCATCATCACCATCATCCAGTACAACCCCCTGCCATACAGGAATTCACTTGATTATTCTGATTTGAGAAATCTTCTTCATTGTCAAAAACTTTTAATGCCCAGAATCACTGGGTTGCTGTAAGTTTTTTGGGCTGTATGTCCATGTTCCAGAAACATTCTCTCCTGATGTTTCACCTGCATCTATGGCAGGTATCCTCAGAGGTTGTAACGTCAGGAGAGAATGCTTCTGGATCATGGCCATACAGTTCGAAAAACTTATGCCAACCCAAATTTTCTGCAGCTATTTTGAAAAGGAAGAGTTGTGCAGCTGAGCATAAGTGGAGTGGAGTGGAGTGGTCACAAAGGCAAGTTCCTCAAAGAAAGGAAACCCAATTAATAGAGATATATGATAGAGAATAGAATCATGTGTCAAAAAAGTTACTTTTCCAGCTTCTACCACGCAATAATTCCCTTCTCCCCCCTAATATAGCATGGTCTCTCTCCTCCCCTTCCCATGAAACTTAAGATATGATAAATACATGCTAAAAGCTCTTTATTTGGAAGCCAATCACATAAGCATGCTTTTTAAAGTTCAGGCTTAGAAACTTTGGCTCAGTTGAGATCTAAAAACTCAGTTAAAACACTCAAAAGCTCAATTAAATGATAGCAAAAGAAATACAATTCAGTAAACACAATCGTAAATTTAAACCATCAACGAATCCTTCGTTAAGCCAACAGAGGTAAGCAATGGATGGTTGTGCAAGGCATGATTACCATGGGTCCATGTCAAGCTATTAGTTTATCCTGGAAAAAAAGGAAAAAGAAAGGAACAGTCACCATGTAATCTAAGTTCTTGTGGGTTTTTTCGGGCTATATGGCCATGTTCTAGAGGCATTTCTCCTGACGTTTCGCCTGCATCTATGGCAAGCATCCTCAGAGGTGAGGTCTGTTGGAACTGGGAAAAAGGGGGTTTATATATCTGTGGAATGACCAGCGTGAGACAAAGGACTTTTGTCAGTTGGGCTGGGTGTGAATGTTTCAACTGACCACCTTGATTAGCATACAATAGGCTGACTGTGCCTGGAGCAAACTCTTCTTGAAAGGTAATTAGATGTCCCTGCCTGTTTCCTCTCTGCTGTTTTTGCTGTTGCAATTTTAGAATTTTTTAATATTGGTAGCCAGATCTTGTTCATTTTCATGGTTTCCTCCTTTCTGTTGAAATTGTCCACATGTTTGTGTATTTCAATGGCTTCTCTGTGTAGTCTGACATGGTGGTTGTGAGAGTGGTCCAGCATTTTTGTGTTCTCAAATAAATGTAATCATTTACAAATGCTTCTTGTGGACTTCTATATTCATTTCCTGTCAATGTTTTTTTTTTATTTTCTGACTTTATTAACCATGACATTTGGAGTAAGACAAAAGTATGGACTAGATTGATGTAATCTGCAAGATTAAAGCTCTTTTGTGAATGGGTTGTGTTTCCTCATGCTGTGAACATGTTCTCCATATCATGTACTGTATATACGTAGATGACAGCTGGGTATGTTTTAGAGCGAAGAGGGCTCTTTGTCCAAGAGCTGCCCACTAAAGGGAGCAAAGGTGTGGCCTAAAAAGCAGATCTTAGCATTAACATTGGAGCAAAATTAGAATTAAAAATAGAAGAATTCATTTCAATTGCCACAAATACATGGAAATCTGTTTTTAAAAAATCCAAAATAAATGAAATTGTACATCTTTTCTTTCCTGACATCTCCCTTTTTTATTTGTAGTAATACAGGCCCCATCTACACTGACCATTTATGTCAGTATAGCCCAAATGCTAGGTTTTCTCCCATTATTTGACAGCTGCTTGTGTAATTTGCAGCTAAAATTCACAAACAAATATTGTGGATTTTTTTTCAAGAGAAAGTGAGTGTTTTTGTGAACTGATTGTTTTGTTCCATTGGAGATTCATGCATCATATATACCATCCATAGGTGACAGCATTCACATGGCTGGTGAACCCATGCAATTCAAACCGTTTTGCCCATATTTGATATTTTATCTCACATGAATTTGAATACTTCCTCCTCTTGGATTGTTTTTCAACTGTGTATCTACAACATGACCAGTCTTCATAATCAGTTACCTTTTCTAACATCCATACAATGACGTGAACAGGGTTTATAACAGCATTTCATTGGCTGTGGGCAGTCTGCATCTTTCGAACATCTATCTCTCTGAGGTTTGACACACCCTATGAGGATAACAGGAGGACATTTCCCAGGTCTCACTGTAACAAATAATGACAATATTTTTTAGAAACAAAACAGTAGTGATTCATGTGCAGCTCTGCCTCTCCTGGTTTTAGATCAATGAACAGGGGAAACACTTGGCTCTTGTTAGGTATATTCTGGATTCAGCAACCCCATCCCTCCTTAAAGTTGCTGAAAATCCTGCCTAATTTGGTAAGGAAAAAATGAAGGAGAGGTAGGGTTGTTGTAGGTTTTTTTGAGCTATATGGCCATGTTCTAAAGGTATTTTCTCCTGACGTTTCGCCTGCATCTATGGCAAGCATCCAGCCTTCAACAATAGATTGAAGGAGAAGTATTCTAATCCCCACCACAAAAAGTGGAAAGAGGTTCCTTTTTCCTGATCATATTACTGAGCAGGCTAGGGATGGATGAATCAGTCTATTTCAGTTCTATCCTAGTATGTCCTTTTAAAATATGCTCTTGAAAAACTGTGTTTAAATGTTTACTATTTGCTTAGTAAACATTTAAATACAGTTTTTATGTGCCAACTGTAAACCGCCTTGAGTCGCCTTCAGGCTGAGAAGGGCGGTATATAAATATGGCAAATAAATAAATAATAAATTTACAAATGAACATATTTAAACTGTATGTATTCTCTTTTAAAATGCATGCTCCTTCAAAAGTACAAGTTTAGGATAGATTTTGAACCCTTCTTGAACACAAAAAGAACAAGGGGTGTTTGGGAAATGGAAAAGGCAATAAGTAACTTATTATTATTATTATAAGTGATAAGCAATCCATCCATCCATCCAGACATACATGTGTATCAATTTAATTTCATTTGTACCAGCAACAATGTGGTAGGAGAGATATGAATAAGTATTAAAAATAAAAATAAGGGCATAACCTCATGGAACCACTGGATTTAAACCACTCATTATCACTGGGAAATTTTACTGTCCAAAGCACCTTGTTCTGGATTCATACAGCTCTTTCCACAGCAAGAGGAACAACATTTCTGTTTTCCTTCACATGAAAAATCATTTCTGCATCTATCTGGTTGACAATTAAGACATTTGCAATTATTTTGTTTTGGGCATATGTAATATGAAAAGGCACTGTCAGAAGCAGAATTCCAAAAATATATTTTGGTGACCACACTGAGAAGAGGAATCTGGACATTTTAGTAGAAAAAGTCATATTTTCAAGTTTTTGTAGAAAGCAAACAATTACAAAATCATTTTCAATTAACACGGTTTTATATTGGTTTATATTGTTCCGCAATATTTTGAAGGGAACTTACAATATAAGACCATCAAAAACGTAACTGCAAAGGCTCACTGTATCAATTGAAATGTTCTGGAAGCTGCTTTGGGTCCCATTCTGGGAAAAAGCAGCATATAAATGCAGTAAAACAAACGAACAAACCAATCAATAAAATATGAGAAAATAATCATCCAACAACTGAATTCTGTACAATCATCACAGATTTAGAAATTGATCTATCGGGACATATCTGTACTGAGCTGCCAATTCTAAGTCAGAGATTTCTAACTGAACAAATGCTTGTGGGAGGCTGGCATGTTATGTGAAAGTTTATTACATAATCAAGATCTATAGTTTCAATAGTGAAACTTGGGTCACTGCCAAAATTCTACTATCAACTGAAAGAGATTGTTCTTTCAGAAGCTACTATCAGACTCCGGACCTACCGCCCCTTTGTGGCAAGGCTGGGGCCTGCTGTGTGCCATCACACGACATGTGGCAAGCCCTGCCCACTTTCCTCCCAAAGTCCTCCACGACTTTAGGAGGAAAGTGTAGTTTGGGAAGCTCTGACAGAGCTACCTGCACTTTCCCATCCATTTCCTTGTGTGATGGCAGAAAGGGTGGCAGGGCAACGCATGTTGCTGTGTGTGCCACCCTTTCTGCCATCTGATGGAGGGAGGGAAAGGGTGCCAAGGTAACCTCTCCCATCCCCTTCATGTGATGAGGAGAGTAGGGAGAGTGCACAGGGTGCCCGAGCTACCCTGTGTGCCTTCCCTTTTGCCGGTGCAATGGCACGGCCTGAATGGGCTATGTGAAGAGGTCCTTAAGGTGCGATTACACTGCAGAATTAATACAGTTCGACACTGCCATGGCTCAATACAGTGGAATCCTAGGATTTCGTGAGTTAACAGCCTCTTTGGCAGAGAAGGCAAAGACATTCTAAAACTACAATTCCCAGAATTCTGTAGCACTAAGCTATGGCATTTGAACTGGTGTCAGATTGTATTAACTCTTCAGTGTAGATACACCATTAGAAGCTGCTAGCAATAGAGATTAATAAGGGCAGTTACCAATACAGTGCTTATGAATTGTGTTTTAATTGAGGGCCCTTCCACACAATTATATAACCCAGAACATCAAGGCAGATAATCTCAATATCTGCTTTGAACTAGATTATCTGAGTCCACACTGCCATATAATCCAGTTCAATGTAGATTTTATACAGCTGTCTGAAAGGAGTCTATGTTTGCTAAACACATAGCACATTTGTTCTCTAAGAAAGTATTTGAAAAAGACGCATACATTGTGACTCCTGCCCCCAATGACCTGTTAACCAAGAGAATGGGAAAGAACTGTATAAAGAGTTTGTGAGTTGAAGAAATTCAATTGACATATTTACTTGTTTGTTTGTGCATTTGTTTAATTTAGATACTGCCTTTCTTCAAATATACAACCTACGTGACTTATAGTATAAGTGAAATACAAAATACAATAAAAAAAGCATATAAAACAGAAGTTTTCAAAATATAAATAAGCAAAAGGCAATACCATTTAAATTAATTGAAATAACAACAACAACAAATGACAGTGTTGTTTTACCATTCAGAGACCAATGTATGTTGTTACACAAGTCTCCTAAAATGGGTTCTGCTGTAGTAAACCTGTGTAATTGAGATGGAAGCATGCCTGCCTAGCAGAACATTTTCCTTTTTTTTACAATGTAAGAACTGCACAGCTTTGAGATTTCAGATGTTCAAAAACCATTCACCTCTGACCTTCTGGATACAGGAACTGAATCCCGTCTATGTTTTACCATCATGAGCCCTTGAGAAACATGAAAATGGAGACAGACACATCTTGTACTTACCTGATTGCACTTCCAGACTTGCAGGTGGCAACATTACGCAAAGGACTAAAGCACTCAAAAGCAAGAAGCTGCAAAGGGTCTTCATAGCACCTTCTGATTTTGTTTATCAGTCCTTATGGAAAGCTAGACTCTAAATCTTTGGTGTGAGCACTGAAGCTGAGGCAAATAGTACATGGATCATGTGTGAGTTTGGTTAAATATAACTGTGAAATTGCTTGGGCAAGAAACAATCAACTGTCAGGTTGCCCAAAGATGCTTGGGCAAGATTCAATCAACTGTCAGGTTTGCCCAAATGATTATTGGACAAATGCAATCAACTGTCAGGTTTGTGAAAAATTCCCCTCTTACAACAGAAACAAGGAAGTGTATTATTACTTCATCCAGGAATGCAATATTGTATATTAGATAATTCTTTAAAAACAAAGCAATGGATATCGCCAGTCATCCTTGCCTCTGTACTCATACTTACTAGCATACTAGCATAAGTGGGGTTTTCTTCACACAAGCCTGTGGTAACCAGGAGATCTGGATCATCTTCATTCATCTCTCTTCATATTGTCACTGTCTATGTGTGGCAGGAGAGACTGAGATAAAATGTAAATAACAACTCCATGATAAGTTCTCCACATTCCTAGTAGCAGATAGTCTTTGTTTGTTTGTTTTTCAGTTGTTTAGTAAATGATCAGAGAGTTCCAGGTTGGGAAATCTTTAGACTATGATTCTAATAACCCCTAGGGAAAGCCATGGAAGTCTACAAAGGCCAAAGGTATTGGGCTTTTAAAATACATGAAACAACAAATATCAGGATTCCATAGGATGAAACTATGGCAGTTAAAATGGTACTAAACATTCTTTTGCTCACAGAACATGCTATTAGACACAGAGAGAACTCATCCTGGAGTTGTTTTTTGCATTTTATCCCAGTCTCTTTTGCAACACATAGACTTTGGAGCCAGTGACAGAATGGAGAAAGATGAGCCGAGGTGCCTTACATCTCCTGGTTGCCACAGGCTTGTTTGAGAAAACCCCACTTATAATAGTAACTAGTAAGTATGAGTACAGAAACAAGGGTGATGGCTAGTATCTATTGCTTTGTTTTTGTTTCTAAAAAGTATCTCGTATGCAATACCATTTTCCTGGATAAGCCGTGGTGAAAGAGAGTTGCAATCGAAGTCCATTTTTGTGGTGGCAAGAAATAATAATACACTTCCTTGTTTCTGCTGTAAGAGGGGAATTTTTTCACAAACTGGACAGTTGATCGCATCTTACTCAAGCATCTTTGAGCAAACTTGACCGTTGATTGTATTTGCCCAAGCAACTCTACAGTTATGTTTAAGCCAACTCACACATGATCCAAGTACCACTTGCCTCTGTTTCAGTTCTATGAAACTGAAAGATTTAAAGTCTAGCTTTCCATAAGGACTGTAAGCTAGAATCCGAAAGTGCCATGAAGACTCTTTATAGCTGCCTTATTTTGAGCGTTTTAGTCCTTTGGATGGTGCTACCACCTGCATGTTTGGAAAAGAGACCAGGTAGGTGCAAAATGTGTCTGTCTCCACTGGCATTTATCTCAAGGCCTCATAGTAGGAAGCAAGATGCAAGCTCCAGTCCCTACACCCTTAGTTGTTTGGAAAGAGAAAAATGGAGTGAATAAAAAAGTGTGCAGTATTGCTGACTTAGTTAATATATATAATGGAGCATCAATGATTAATGTGTCTAGGTGTGGTACCTGGAACATATTACAAATTGCCTGCTCAGAATAGAAATGGAATGAAAGATTGAAATGAATCTTTTCAATTCACACCTTAATCTGTGCACAATTTGCAATGGATTGCAGCAGAAAATAGTGTTTTCAGTATACAAAACTACAATTTCTGTGCAGAAACATTATTTTCTATGCAGAAAATGCAATTTCCAGCACATTGGTTTCTAGAAAGGAATAGAGTTTTCTGTCCAAGAAATAAATGCTGCTTTCAGTGGAAAATTGTGAGAATTTTGTCCAGGAAGAAGTCCCTATCTACATGTTATGTGGATGAAACAGCACAGTGCAGAAGTATTGTTTTCTGTACAGGAAAACGCCTTTTCCTGAAGAGAAAATGCAAGCGCACAGCTTCTCTCCATTTTTGTCTTTCTCTTCTTATTCAAGTCATGGCCAGTACTCAGTTTCCAGGTGCACACCTCAACTCTAGTCAATAATTTGAAATTTCAGTTGTGAATCAATCTCATGTAAACATAATACACATGCATGTCTGAATAGATACATTAAGTAGTAAATGCTGCTAAAGATGGTTATCTGTTGCCTTTTGTGTTCACAAAGCATCCTATGCCCTTATTGTGTTCAAGGAACATGTTTAGACATGCATTTTAAAAAAGAGAATTGACAGCAAAATATCTTTGTATATAAACATTTAAATATACTTTCTCAAGAATGTCTTTGAAAAGGAATGATCCATGCATCCCTAGATAACTCAGAGATATGATCTCAAAACAATTGACTTCTTTCTACTTCCTGAGTGTAAGAATTAGAACATTTCCCTCTATTTGGTGTTTAACGTTTATAGAGGTACATTTTAATACATGTATTTGTTGTGTATTTGCTGTGCTTATGTGTTTTAACTATTATGTAACCTGCCTTGAGCCAAGAGGAGAGGCAGGTTACAATTATTATTATTATTATTATTATTATTATTATTATCATCATCATCATCATCATCATCCAACCAAATAGGTAGGATTTTCAGTAACTTTGGCACTTGCTAAATCTAGGTTGATGGTAGTCTACTATATCTGCCAAGAACCAAGTATTTCCCCTGCTCACAGCTCTAAAAATAGTGCTGAACCACTACTGTTCTCTTTCTACATATTGTTGTTATTTGTTACAGTGAGACCTGGAAAATGTCCTCCTATTATCGAAATAGGGTGTCTTGAACCTCAGAAAGATATGTGCAAAGTGGATGCTGATTGTCCACAGCCAAAGAAATGCTGTTATAAACCGTGTTCTCTTCAATGTGTGAATCCTAGAAAAAGGTAACTGATTATGAAGAGGGAATTGGGTATATTGAAGAAGCATAGTTGAGAAATAATCCAAAAGGACAAACTACTCAACTTCCTCTTGGGTCTGAGGATGGGAATACTACAATACCAATTGTGGACAGAAGTTCTAAACTGCATGGGCTATGCCAGTTGTGTGAATTATGAAGAAGCAGAAAGTATTCATGAGAAAGCTTTGTATCTTTTAGAATACACCAGTGTAGTCATATCATTATCATTGTTACCTCCAATTATCATTGTTAATAAAGCCAGATCTCAAAAAGCCTTGATAGAAAACGGATCTAGAACTCTCACAAGACACTTTTTTAAATGACTTATTTCTGAATTTTTCTCTTTTTCTTTCTTCAGGATAAACTAATAACTCGGTGTGGACCTATGAAAATCATGCCTTGCAAAACCATCTATTGCCGCCCTCTACTGGCTTAGAAAATGATTGAATGATGGTTCTGAATATATTGTGCTTATTTCTGGTTGTGTTTATTGAGTTGTGGTTTTTCTTTGTTATGAATTAATTGAGTTTTCTCATCAAAACTGGACAAAATTTTCTGAACCCTTATCTATAAAAAGCATACTGTGTGATTGGCTTTGCAATAAAGAGCATTAAGTAGTAGCTGTTTACCATTTCTTCAGTTTCTTCAGAAGGCAAGGGGAGAAGCCATGCTATCTGCAATTATTACTGTATGTTAGCAATTGGAAAAGTAACTTTTTGGACCATGATCCACAGAATCTCTCAGTTATTATACTCTGAGGCCAATTTGTTTGGTGAGAGTGTCTCACTATTTCCATACCTTGAACACTTAATTTCTTCAGATTTCTCAAAGTAAAATAATAAGTTTTTCAGTGGAAGCAAGGGAGACAAGGGGGAAAGGATCTGGGCGGCAAGGGGGTTGAAGGAAAAGGTTTTTGGTGGCAAGGGAGGCAGGGAAAGGCTTGTGGCATCAAGGGAGATTGGGGGAAAGGCTTTTGGTGGCAAGGGAGAGGGAAGGCGAGGCAGGTGGGAGAAGACAGGAGCAGGAAAGAGGAGGGGAAGTTTGGAGGAAAGCTCAGAGCCCCTTAATATGCTTCCTGGATCCCCAAGAGCTCTGTGGAGTACACTTTGAGAATTGCTGCTCTAGGATCTTGAAAGCCTTACTTCAGTTTTAACTAGATTGTCTTCTAAATTTCTAACATTCGAGGCCATTTCAGGAAGCTTTAAAAAAAAGATGTGGATGTAGAAGCCAGAGTGAATGTTAAGGCTGTGATAGATTTTTCTTCAATAGTCAATTACAAAATCACCTCTGTTGAGAGTTAGATAACCATATCTGCTGCATATGTCCTGTGATGCTGTTCCCTAAGATTCAGTTTTCAGTCTTTGCATGAAAATAATAATAATTACTATTAATACTATTAGCATGAGGATTTGAATGTGAATTTATCCAGTGATTTTAAATGTCCACCAAATGATAATCCCCTGGTTTTCTCTGTTCTTACAATGATTACAGTAGTTCTATAGTCTGTAAAGCTATGGTAAAGAGACATTGTTTGTGTTAGAGTTTTTATCATTTCTTAAGAAACAAGTAGGGTAAGGATCAGAGTAGCAAGCAGTAAAGTCAAACCATTTGGCTAGCACTGTGTAATTACAGCCAGGATGAAGTAACTGCTTTGGTAATAAAGACCCCTTCCAGACAGCTAAATAAAATCCCACATTTTCTGTTTTGACCTGGAATAAATGGCAGTGTAGAATCAGATATCCCAATTCAAAGCAGATATTGTGGGATTTTCTGCCTTGATATTCTGGGTTATATGGCTGTGTGGTAGGGCCCAAAGGAGCAAAAGAGCTACTCCTTGTTGAGGTGTTGGAAGGAGTTGGGTTGTTGGAGTTTGCTGAGGAGTTGGAAGGTTGGGGTTCTGAGAGGCTTGTGTCCTGAGACTGAAAGTTGGAGTATCAAGAAGAATTGGACTACAAAACCAGCCTGCTGCAAGTAAGAAGTCTCCAGTTACCTGGAAGTATCAGGAAAAGAAAGCTGGAGAAGTATTCCAGTCCTCAGCCACTGTAAATAGACTCTGTACATATATTTTTGTATAAAGTCTGCTGGAAAGACAATGGTGTGAGTTTACTCCTTGATTGGAGGAGGGAAGCTTCCACGGCTGTTTGTGACTACACATATGAATCTTCATCGCAACAGTTTGTACTAGAGAATCCTCATGCTATGTATGTAGGCAGTATTGGATTCACACATAAACTAAATAAGCTGAATTTTAGGGCTTCAGATTATAAGGGGCCTCTGAATATAAGTACACAACAAACCTGTAAGAATACCCCTCCCCCCATGTTGAGACTTTTAAAACATAATATAGTCCAGAATCAGAGTATGTCTTAATCCAATCATACTTTTAGGTGTGGACAAAAAGATACTTAACTTCTCTTGTGTTGTTATGTGAGGAATTTGATGGCCATTCAGTCTCCAAGGTTTCTCAATAATGCACCAAAGAAAAATATACAAAAAACCCCAACACCAACAAAAAATGCTATCAGTTTCCATTTTTAAATGAGGTTGTGATCCATTAAGGCAGCCTGGTTAATATAGACCTTAAGTCAGTTCTACATGACATTGATATATTTTAAAAAAACAAACAGTTCTGTTTTATGACATCACATGTAGAATTTGCAGTTAATTACATAGTTACAAATACATTTGATTTTGATTTTGTCGTCTTTCATGATCAATACTGCTTTATGTGATCCTACTTTGTGGTTCATGAACAGAAAAAAATGTCAAACAGAAAAATATTACCATTAAGGTACAGTTTTGTTTATAACTGATTGTATCAAAAAACATAAACAGGCCAGATCTACAATATATTAACTTCTTGTCTAAAATGTGTTTGAACCCTCCCTTTATGAAACCAGAATTTGCTAGTTCAAAGCAGGTCTAGTAAGTCTTCAAATCTCACCTGTTTGACAAATGACAGGAAGAACAAAGCAGAAATGAGAACATCTTGAATTGAACTCTAGTGAAAGCCCTGAAGGTGGCTAGGAACAGAAAACTATGTTAAGCAATTTTGGATACTCTTTTGAAAAGGATGCCACAGGACTTCATAGACCCCTCCCCCAAATGTATTATTTTGAAAGTCCTATTTATTTTGGCTAGTCTAGAGTTCCACACTTTTTCTGAACCAGGAACTCTCAAACCAAACAACTGGAAAAAATGGCATTACTAGTATGATTTCAAAGTCTTAAGGTGGTTTATGATCAGCCAAGCTGGAAGTTGAACAAACTGTTGTATGCAGAATCTGCTACAGTGGATACAGAGAACTCAGCCTGCACTGATTTGCATTTTATCACAGTCTCTTCTGCTTCACATGAGCTGCTGAGACAGCAGCATTATGAAGAAAGATGAGCCTAAATGACCCACATCCTCTGAGTTTCACAGCCTGTGTCAACCCCCCACCCCGATAAGAGAAAAATTAACACAGAGACAAGAAGAATGGGTGATATCAATTGCTTTATTCTTCAAAAAACTACCTAGTACTTAGTACCACATTCCTGAAATGTCATTGTCAGACTGACATGAAGAAATCAACATCCCCATTTCTTCATTTAGATGGAACCTTTTCACAAACTTTTGAAAGATTGTTTCCTGCCCAAAGAGCCTCAGGCAAATATGACAGTTGATGGTGTCTTGCCCAAGCAACTTCACAATTATATTTAAGCAAACTCACATGGAATGTCTCAGCTTCAATTCTGTACACCAAAGATTTTAAGTCTAGCTTTCTATAAAGACTGAAAGCCATTATCAGAAGGTGCCATGAAGACCCTTTGCAGCTTCCTTCTTTTCAGTGTCTTAATTCTTTGGGTGGTGTTGCCATCTGCAAGTTTGGAAAGGACACCAGGTAAGAACAAAATATGTTTTTCTCCATTTTCATTTTTAATGGATTTGTGGTAGTAAGCACCAGGCATCCTCAGCTGTTTTTGAAAGAGAGCAAGCCAATCCAGTCATTGAATAAGAACAGGTGTAGTCCTGCTGATTTAGGTAATGCACCTATTGGAGCACCTACATTAGAGTTGTCTAATTGTGGTTCCTGTGTCATACCACAAATCCCTAACTCATAATAGAAATTGAAAGAATATTTGATTTTTTCCCCCATCAAAAATGTGCAAAAGGTGAGTGAGTGTCAGAAATCATTCAAGAGGAAAATTCTAGACTGACAAGAATTTTTATAATTACTGTTCTGTTTTTACATGTTATTTGCTACAGTGAGACCTGGACGCTGCCCTCCTTTTCCCAAAATAGGGTGTGTTGAACCTGAGAAAGATAGATGCCAAGTGGATGCACACTGCCCATGGCCAAAGAAATGCTGTTACCAACCCTGTCATCTTCATTGTGTGCATCCTATAAAAAGGTAACTGAATATGAAAACTGAGAGTACTGGGCGTGTTATGCACAACTGAGAAATTATCATAGAGAACAAAATGTTCAAGTTCCTTGTAAAACTTAAAATAGAAATTTCTCAACATGAAGTTGTAGACAGAATCATTCAACATACATCAGCCTTCAGGGCAAAAAAAGTATATCCAGTCATGAGATATTGATACATGGCATGCCTGAGCCTTTGGGGAAAACTATAGTGTCAGGCTTTACTCGGGGGCTATCTGTATACCTTCTACTAAGATTGAGACCCTTAACACACAGAGTCACTTTAGGCAAGGAGGAAAGATAACCAAAATGAGTTTACTGAAAACAAGATGATTAAAGGATTAACTCCACCCCAGGACTATTATAAGGTAACTTAAAACAATACATTACAAAAGGAGATTTTGATGGTTGCAGTCATCTCTCTGGAATCTTCTGCCTCTGGTGTAAAGTGATAGTTTACAATCTGTTGCTTATAAGCTGTCTCAAACTTCTTTCTTATGAAGCTTAAGCTGGTCAAAAACTTCTGTTGTCACTGAGACTGATGGTATAAAAATACTGATAAATGCAGGTGCTAAGGATGTCTGCTTTCGGATTGCTTGGGCCTAGGGTTACCAGACAATATCCAAGCCTCTGTTCACTGTAGCTCAGCTGCAGAAAAAGGAGGAGTCCAGCAAAGAAACTCTATACAGGCAAATGGAATAGACCAACTAAGGCTGGCTTCTGGGGGTTTTTTTATTCTTCACCCAAAACTAATACAAAGGAAGGTATCTACACTATTGGGAAAACCTATAAACAAGGAGAAATGAAGCAGGGGAGAGGAAAAGGGAGAGCCAAGACTTCACAGTACCACATATGATGTTGAGAACATATTTACAAAGAATTCCTGAGAGAGCTTTCATCTTTTGCATTATACCAGTTGTTAATCATATCAGCAGAAAGCTATAACATGAAGTTAGCATGCCCACAATTTTTTTAATAGCTTTATAACTTACGTTTGTTTTTCTTTCTTCAGGATAGATTAATACCTTGATGTGAACCTATGGAGATAATGCCTTTCAAAACACCTCGTTGCTTCTCTCTACTGGCATAACAAAGATTCACACATGATTCTAAATATACTATGCTTATGCAACAGGATTTCTGGTTGTGTTTATTGTGTTGTGTTTGTTATCATTTCACTGAATCAATTAGTAAGTTAACACAAAAAGTATGGATACTTCAGAAAAATATGAACAGAAAATAAATCAGAAGATACATAATGTTACTGTAGAGAAACTCTGTTTAGTAAATATTTGTATTTCATGAAACTCAACCATTGATCAGACAACATGGAAAAAGATGACAAAAGAAATGACAGCTTTTTTTTTTTACTTCTCAATGTGTTTTTCCCTGACAATAATCTAGAACTGAGAAATTGGAAGAAACTGGATCACAAATGGGTAAATTTTTTGAGCCCTCATCTAGACAATGCCTACTAGGTGATTGGCTTGACAATAAATGGCATTTAGTAGCTTTTTACCATATCCTCAGTTTCATGGGAAGGGAAGAGGAGGCATCAATGATCCTTCTTGTGACCTTGTCACATGGCTGCTGGAACTGCCCTGTGTCATCGGAGGGCGTGGGGAACTTGGCACGCCATGCTTCACTGTGCGGCTTCCCCCCATTGATTCTAATGCCAACACGAAAAGTGTCCTGTGTTGCCATGCTACTTGCTCCACTCTACATCACCCACAGAACCACACCAGCATTGTTTGATGGGAGCCAGTGGATTCCGTGGGTGATGGAGCTGGCATATGCCTCTGAAATCTGCCCTTGTGATGTGGTCTTGCTAAGGTTCAACACAACCTATTTTGGAAAAAGGAGGGCAGTGTTCAGGTCTCACTGTAGCAAATAATATGTAACACATACCATGATAACCATTAAAAGTAACCTTTTAGATCATGATTTAGAATCTCTCAGACATTATACCTCATGATCATTTTGCTTGGTGGCTTCTGAGGACTATATTCCTATCTCAACATCATGACTACACAACTCTACTCATGCACTGCTGCATAAAGGTTATTTTTCAAAACAGCCAAAGAAGATTTTTTTTTCCAAAGTAGAATGATCATGTTTAGAGCACATGTTTAGAGATTCGTGGAAGTGGCTAGACTGGATGATGATGATGATGATGATGATGATGATGATGATGATGATTATAATATTGATATTGATATTGATGATTCCTCGCTCTATATTAAGGATGGTGTCGGTGAGAGCATTCCATAGTTACTATGCCACAACTGAGAAGGCCCTAGCTCATACAGTCACTAGTGGGATGCAGAGGAGTCCTCCATCACCACTCCACTCCTTAATCCTTTGATAGACACACATGGAAAGAGGCATAATAACTGTTAATATATAAAAACTTGGGAGTCCAAGAAAAATAATCTCCAACTGGTGCAGTACGCAAAAAGTGCAAAACTATAATGTTCAAATAAATTTATTTTATAATAGTAACAACGGCCCATACTCATAAGATAATGAAGTTCTCATTGACTCTGGAAAAGTCACTGGACAAAAGTAATATTAGAAACTTGTCCCAAAATCTGTTGTAAACATCCCAACATGCTAACAACCCACTCAACTTTTGGTAGAGATATTATCTCCTTCTTTTTCTATGCTTATAATGGTTTCAGTAGTGCTGTAGCTTGTGCAGCTATGGCAATGGGACATTGTTTGCACGAGACAATAACCGCATTGTGTGTCATGTAGGCAATACTGGATTCATGCATAAGATTTTAGGGCCTTGGGGCCTACTAAATAGAAATAAAAACAAACCTAATAGAATAATTTCCCCTAGAATCATAGAATCAAAGAGTTGGAAGAGACCTCATGGGCCATCCAGTCCAACCCCCTGCCAAGAAGCAGGAATATTGCATTCAAATCACCCCTGACAGATGGCCATCCAGCCTCTGTTTAAAAGCTTCCAAAGAAAGAGCCTCCACCACACTCCGGGGCAGAGAGTTCCACTGCTGAACTGCTCTCACAGTCAATCTTAAACATAATCAATAGTGGGAAGGTAATGGTGCTCCTTGCAGTCATGCCGGCCACGTGACCTAGGAGGTGCCTATGGACAACGCCAGCTCTTCAGCTTAGAAATGGAGATGAGCACCATACCCCAGAGTCGGACACGACTGGACTTAATGTCAGGGGAAACCTTAACCTTTACCTTAATCTTAAACATAATATAGTTCAGGGCCAAAGCATATCTTAATCCAGTCATACTTTTTGATGTGGACAATAGGATCGCTAACTTTTCTTGTGTTGTTATGCGAGGTTTCTTATAGTGGAATGTGATGCTTCTTCATGCACCCAGCAAAGCACAAAAGAAAAACATACAAAAAGCAACAAAACAACTAAAAAAAACCCACCACAATCCTTTTTTAAATGAGGCCCCCATCTATTAAGGCAGCTTAGTTAATGTTTGCCTTAAGATAGCTCATTGTGTCACTGATATTTGAAAAACAGCTAGGTTTTATATCGCATACAGAAATGTACAGGTAGTTATTAGGGGTGTGCATTTTTGTTAGTCCTCAAAATTTGGATCAAATTCGTTAAATTCATACAATATCCAATATGTGTGCGTGGTCCGCACCAAAAATTTAAGAATTGAAGCTTACTCCATATTTTTGTAAATCTCGGAAGGCTCCCAAAGTCAGTTTCATATTCAGCGCAAGGAAGCAAAGCAGAGCAAAGCCAAAAAGGCCACCTTAGTGCTTTGCATTTTCTCTGTAAATTAATGGAGTCTCAGCATTAGGAGCAGGGAGAAAGAGGGAGCAGTGTTTTCTGGGAACGGCCTTATGAGCCCTCTCCTAAACTACATTTCCCAGAATGCAGTGCACTGCTTAGTATCACAGAGATTTGCCCCTCCATAGCCAGACAGAGTTCCAATAAATTATGATATTTATTATAGCACATAATAATGTAATCATCCACCCATTTAACACAGTTTTCGGCACAAAAATAAAGTTGCTGGAGTAGAACTACTACTTTCAAAGTAAGGAACACACAATTAAACAGGAAATAACACTTTCAAACTATTATTGTTATTATTATTATTATTATTATTATTATTATTATTATTATTATTATTATTATTATTATGAGGCTGGATGGCCATCTGTCATGGAGCTCTGATGGTTTCTACACTATGGTTTTTGTTCCTGGGTTATAAATGTCATTTCCTAATTGGTTCTATCATGAAAACATGGTAAATGTTTGTCTTTGCATGAGGGACATGGTGTTATAACACATTTTGCTATCCAGCCACCAACTTTTGAATCCATCGTCCACCCATTTAACACAGTGTTTGGCACCAAAACAAAGTTCCTGGAGTAGAACTACTACTTTCAAAGTAAGGACTACACAATTAAACAGGAAATAATACTTTCAAACTAGGAACATATTTTCATTATTATTTTTAAAGTTGTTTGTAAAAACTTTGGAAATTCCTCCCAAATTTGTGGTAAATGTGTCCTACCATTGTAGCAGGTTTCACCGCAATAGCTGTAAAAATGAGGGAGAAAGGAACCCCTGAACTTTCCCCAATTATAGTAATAGGTAAAGGTTTTCTCCTGGCATTAAGTCCAGTTGTATTTGGCTGGGCATTGGTGCTCATCTCTATTTCTAAGATGAAGAGCCAGCGTTGTCTGAAGATACCTCAAAGGTCATGTTGCCAGATGACTGCATGGTGTGCCGTTACCTTCCCGCCGGCATGGTACTTATTGATCTACTCACATTTGCATTTTTTGAACTTCTAGGTTGGCAGAAGCTGGGGCTAACAGTGGGAGCTCACCCCGCTTCTCAGATTTGAAATGCTGACCTTTTCGTCAGCAAGTTCAGCAGCTCAGTGGTTTAACCCACTGCGCCACTGGGGGACCATAGTAATTATATGCAATTACTGTAACAAAATAGTAATTATTTTGTTTTGCTCTCGTTATAGTAATGATTTTTTTCACTAACAATACTTTAAAAACACTTTAGAAACGAAATGCCAGTGCCCCCCCCAGTTTTGTAATGACTTTTGAACCATTTTTGTAATGGATCGCACATACCTATGTACAAAAATAATCAGGTTTGCCTTATATGGCCCTATAGTTGATGTAGCAGAAAAATGGCAAGCAGAAATAGATTACAAAAACAGCGCTACAATATATCAGCTTCCTGTCTAAAGCATGGTTGCATCCTGACATTGCAAACCCAACCAAACCAGATTTTTCTAGTTCAAAGCAGATCTAAGTAGGTCTTCATACCTCACCTGTTTGAGAAACACCAAGAAGAACAATGCAGTAATGAGAACTCCTTGAACTGAACTCTGGGAAAGAATGAAGGTAGCTTGGAAAGGAAAGCTATATTGAGCAATTTTGGAAAATCTGTTTAAAAGGATGCAGCAGAGCCTTATCAAACATGCTACCACACACAAAATTGTATAATTTCAAAAGCCCCATTTGTTTTAGCCTGTTCAGATTTCCCCAGTCTTCTCCAGGAGTTGTTTAGAATCAAAGACCAGACACGTCTGGAGTAGGACCTCTCAAACCATTTAATAAACAATTGAAAAGAATGCAATCTGATTTCAAAGCTCTAAGGTGCTTGATCAAATACAGTTTATGAGAAGCCAAAACTAGCCATTCTTGAAGTTGAGGGCTAAACATTTTGTTGCATAAAGAGCCTGTTACTAGGCACATGGCAAATCTCACCTGAACTTGTTATTTGCATTTTGTTTCACATGTGCTGCTGATCCAGTGACATTATGAAGAAGGATGAGCCAACTTGACCTACATCCTCTGATTACAACAGGCTTGTTTGAACAAACCACCACTTATACCAGTATGCAAGGGTGACTGGTGATGTCCAAAACTTAATATCACTTTCCTGGATGGGGTGTGTTTATTATGGTGAAATAAAGAACCAAAGTCTGTCATGAATTCTGGTTCTGCTTCTCTTTTTTTTGGGGGGGGGGGGGAGGAGAAGGGAGGAATCTTTAACAAACTTGACACTTGATTGCATCTTGCCCAAGCATCCTTGGGCAAACCTGGCAGTTGATTGTTTCTTGCCCAAGCAATTTCACAGTTATATTTAACTGAACTATTTCCTCAGATTCAGTTCTATACACCAAGGATTTTAAGTCTAGCTTTCCATGAAAACTAGAAGCCTAAATCAGTGTCATGAGGACCCCTTATAGCTTCCTTCTTTTCAGTCCCTTCGTTCTTTGGGTGGTGCTGCCCCTGCAAGTGTTAAGAGAAAGCTACAAAAATATTTCTGTCTCTGTTTTCATTTTTCTCAACAACAAAAAAACCTTGTGATAATAGCCACCAGGCAAGGTCCAGGCTCTGCATCCTTACTTGGTTATGATGGAGAACACAGAAGTGTAATCACATAAATTAATGAATAAAAGCACACCTGTTCCTCTAGAGTTAGATAATACATGTATTGGAACACTTAAGAGGGATTTGCCTAGCTGTGATACCTGGATCACATCATAAGCCTCCTACTCAGAACAGAGATGGAAAGCATATTTGAAAATGTATTTTAATGGTCCAAAGTGTTTCTTAAGAATCACTATTCCTTCAAAAGGTCTTACTTTTGACCAGCAGTGCTGCAGAATCCAAAGAGGCACGAATGAAGAGTGAAAGGGAGACACTTGCCAAGGGGAAGGTGCATCAAGCCAACCCTGACTGGGAGCACCTTCCACCTGGAAACCGGTGTCTTCACTGCAGGAAAACATGTGGATCAAAAATAGGGCTCCACAGCTATCTATGAACCCACCGCCAAGACACCAGACTTGGAGGACCATCATCCTTGGTCCTCCAAGTCTGGGATTGCCTAAGTAAGTAAGTAAGTAAGTAAGTAAGTAAAGTAATGTTGAGGAACATTGGAACAAACTGAAGACCTCCATCATCACAGCCTGCAAAGAAACCATTGAATATCAAACTAAGAAACAGCAAGATTGGTTTGACGAAAATAACCAAGAGATCCAACAGTTGATTGATAAGAAAAGAAAAGCCTTCCAAACATGGCAGGGAGACACCAACTGTGCTGCTAAGAAAAAGATCTATGCTAGTGCGAAAGCTGAGTTCCAAAGAAGGACCAGAGAACTCAAGAACCTCTGGTGGACAAAGAAAGTTGAAGAAATCCAACACTTTGCAGATACCCATGATGCTCAGGGATTTTTTTAAGTCCCAAAGGTCATCTACAGACCAAGAAATCATGGCATACATTCTCTACGCTCATCATATGGAACCAAACTTTAAAAGGACAACCCTGTACTGACAAGAAGCATTACAGTTCATAGCTTAATTTGTTCAAAATTCACAATAGTTTAGCTTTTGTACAGAAAAGAATGTTTTTTATGTCAGAAACTACATTTTATGTGCCAAAACATTACTTTCTACACAGCAATAGTATTATCGGCAGAGAAAATAAATGGTGTCCCTGGACACAAAAAAAATCAGCAACTACAGAACTCAACAACTACAGAACTCAACTCAACTTTTTGTTGAGTTCCAGGGCCAGAGAAGCAGATGGCGGAAATAGAAGAACGGCCTGCCTCAGGGGAGTGTGCTTGCTCCATCAATGTTCAACATTTACATAAATGACCAGCCACTGCCAGAAGGGACAGAGAGCTTCATCTATGCTGATGATTGTGTCATTACTGCTCAAGCAGGGAGCTTTGAGATGGTTGAACAGAAGCTCTCCGAAGCTCTAGGTGCTCTTACTGCCTATTACAGGGAAAACCAGCTGATCCCTAATCCATCTAAAACACAGACATGTGCTTTTCACCTCAAGAACAGACGAGCATCCCGAGCTTTGAGGATTACCTGGGAAGGAATCCTACTGGAGCACTGCAGTGAACCCAAATACCTGGGAGTCACTCTGGACCGTGCTCTGACCTACAAGAAGCACTGCCTAAATATCAAGCAAGAAGTGGGTGCTAGAAACAATATCATACAAAAGCTGACTGGCACAACCTGGGGATCACAACCAGATACAGTGAAAACATCTTCCCTTGCGCTATGCTACTCTGCTGCTATGCATGCCCAGTGTGAAACACATCTCACCACGCTAAAACAGACATGCTGCATCATCATGGGGTGTCTGTGCCCTACACCACTGGAGAAACTACACTGTCTAGCCGGTATTGCACCACTTGTTGGCTCATGGGGAATTTGTATCCATGAAGACTCCAAGATCTTTTTCACATGGCCTGTTGCCAACCTAGGCATAATCCACCATATATCTGTTTGGAGTCCAAGAGCATTCATTCCATAGTGTAAATGCACCAAGAAAAGGTTATGGACCTTGGGAAACTATAACCCCCAGGACTGCTCAGCATTGAGACATGGCATCCTAATAATAACAATAATCCTTCTCTCCCAGCCTTTCCATGCAACACAAGGCACAGACATATCATGGAAGGGAAGGGAAGGACCCAGAATAGCTATTTTTAAAAGAAATTGTTCTGGCAAAGTAAAAACTCAGTGAGCAAAAGGTAGTGCTTTCCATAACACAGGTACTTTTGGCTCCTCCCACAATTTTCCCTCCCAAAAAATGGGGAAACATGTCATTTTAAACCTGGGAGCATCAAATGCCAACACATTAGAGAACTGGCCAAGCATCCAGCTCATTAACAAACTGGCCAAGCATCCAGCTTACTTCACCACCACCTTCTGAAATGTTTGAAAAGAATGCTGGCACTCACACTTGAAATATCCCACACTTCTCCTTCTAAAATTCGTTTTGTTAGTTTTGGCCCAACTCTCTAATTGGTTGAGGTTCTGGGGTATTAGATATTCCTCCTAATCTGGTGCAATCTGCAAACTTGATAAGCATGCCCTCTAACCTTCATTAATAAAGATGTTGAACAGAACTGGGCCCAGGACGAAACCCTGTGGCACTCCACTAGTCACTTCTTTCCAGGATGACGAACCATTGGTCAACATCATTTGGGTTTGGTCACCTAACCAATTACAAATCCACCTAACAGTAGTGTTATCTAGCCCACACTTTACTAGTTTGTTTGCAAGAAGATTACAGGAACCTTGTCAAAGGCCTCCCTGAAATTAAAATGTGCTACATCTACAGCATTCCCTACATCTACCAAGCTTGTAACCCTAGAAAAAAAGAGATAAGATTAGCCTGGCATGACTTGTTTTTGAGAGATCCATGTTTACTTTTAGTAATCACAATATTCTTTTCTAAGTGACTATCTCCTTAATGATCTGCTACAGAATCTTTCCTGGTATTGATGCCAGGCTGACTAGGTGACTTTATAGGTCACACCTAGCCTTTGAAATATTACACAACATAACTCACTAAGCAAGATGCATCAGTTGTGATATGATGTTAATGATTATGATTATTATCATCATTGCCTCAGACCCATCAATATAAATAATACTCAGTCCTCAGTGCTTGTACCTGGATCTTGCTACAACCATGAAGTCATTAGGTACCTTCCTTCTTCTGAGCCTTCTTGTCATTTCGTTGGAAATGACGCATGCATCTGGCAAGAAAATCCCAAAAGGTAATTCTATCTTACTAATCTATTCTGCTTTGGCCAGAGCTTATCTGGAATATTGTGTCCAGTTCTGATTATCCCAATTCAAGAGAGATATTAACAAGCTGGAACATGAGGAAGTTGAACAAAAAGGTAAAGGGTCTAGAAAACATCCTCTATGAGGACTGGCTAAAGGAGCTGGGAATGCTTAGTCTGGAGAGGAGAATGCTAACAGGTGGCATGATACCCTTGTTTAAATATTTGAAATAATGCAATATTAAGGCAAGATATTTCTGTTTTATTGACTATTCTAAAGCCTTTGACTGTGTGGTCATAATAAATTGTGATAAGTTCTTGATGGTATGGGGATACCAAGCCACCTTTTCTGTCTCCTGAGAAATCTGTACAATGACCAAGTAGCAACAGTAAGAACTGACCATGGAACAACAGACTGGTTCAAGATTGGGAAAGGCATATGGCAGGGTTGTATGCTCTCACCCAACCTTTTCGACTTGTATGCAGAACACATCATGTGATGTGCGGGGTTTGATGAATGCAAGGCTGGGGTTAAAATTGCTGGAAGAAACATTAACAACCTTAGATATGCAGATGATACCACGTTTATAGCCAAAAGTGAGGAGGAGCTAAGGAGCCTTCTAATCAAGGTGAAAGAAGAAAGTGCAAAAACTGGGTTGCAGTTAAACATAAAAAAACCAAGATTATGGCAACCGGGCTGATTGATAATTGTCAAATAGAGGGAGAAAACGTGGAGGCAGTGACAGACTTTGTATTTCTAGATGCGAAGTTTACTGCAGATGCAGACTGCAGCAAGGAAATCAGAAGACATTTCCTTCTTGGGAGAAGAGCAATGACCAATCTCAATAAAAATAGTGAAGAGTAGAGACATCACACTGGCAACAAAGATACGCATAGTTAAAGCAATGGCATTCCCCTTAGTAAGCTACAGATATGAGAGCTGGACCATAAGGAAGGCTGAACGAAGGAAGATAGATGCTTTTGAACTGTGATGTTGGAGGAAAATTCTGAGAGTGCCTTGGACCGCAAGAAGATCCAACCAGTCCATACTTCAGGGAATAAAGCCCGACTGCTCATTGGAGGGAAGCATATTAGAGGCAAAGATGAAGTACCGTATATTCTGGTGTATAAGACTACTTTTTAACCCAAGAAAATCTTCTCAGAAGTCAGGGGTCATCTTATATGTGAGAGTAGTCTTATACACGGGAGTCGTCTTATACGCTGGGGTAGCCTTATGCATTGGAGTCATCTTATATGCGGGAGTAGTCTTATACACCAGGAGTCGTCTTATAGAGCAAGTGCTGAAACTTCCAATCTGGCTTGGAGAATCTGTGGTTGCTGCATATTGTGGGGGGAGCTCAAAAATGGCAGTGGCCATGTCCCTGCCATATGCAGTGACTGTATGAAAGCATTAAGGGTGACGCTGTACAAGTATGGTAGAAGAAAATCCATTCGTCAGGATTCATGGACTTAATGTGGTCCCGATGGTGAGGTGAAGGGGTGCTTCACCGGGAAGGTGTAAGTGAAGGGCGGAGCAAGCTGCAGGTGTCCGGGGCACCCAGGGTATGGAAAAAAGAGATAGAGTGGCTCTGGGCTCAGAAAAACACAACTCTTTTACCTGTCTGGTCCACCCTTGCATCCTGTTACCATACCTCCTCCTCTGCCTCTCAGATCTCACTCCTGAAGACTGCAGTGAAGTGGTGCAGGTGCGCATGTGTGAGATCTGAGAGGCAGAGAAGGAGGTACAGTAATAGGAAAATCACCATATTGAAATCAAATCTGATGCTTTAGAAAATTTATTTGGTGTGTGTTGGAAGAGGGGTAGTCTTATACGGCGAGTATATCCCAAACTCTATATTTTAACTGGAAAAGTTGGGGGTCGTCTTATACACCCAGTCGTCTTATATGCCAGAATATACGGTACTTGGCCACATCATGAGAAGACATGAAAGCTTGGAGAAGACAATGATGCTGGGGAAAATCAAAGGAGAAAGGAAGAGGGGCTGACCAAAGGCAAGATGGATGAATGGTATCCTTGAAGTCATTAGCTTGACTCTGAGGGAGCTGGAGATGGTGACAGCCAACAGGGAGCTCTGTCATGGGCTGGTCCATGAGGTCACGAAGAGTCAGAAGTGACTGAATGAATAAACAACAACAAAACAAGGCAGGAAGGAAGACGTTCTATTGCTTAAGCGAGTTAGGCACAGAGCAATGGGTCAAACTGCAGAAAAAGAGATTCTAGCTAAACATTAGGAAGCACTTTCTGATTCTAAGAGCTATTCAAAAGTAGAAGATGTGGCCTTGGAGTGTGATGGAGATCTTTTAAGATGTTTAAACAAAGGCCATGTGGAAGGAATGCATTTATTGTATATTCCTGCTTGGAGAATGTGTGTATGTAGATCGGCTGGTCCTTGTCATCTCTTCCAATGATTCTATGATCTAGTTAATATGTGTCTTAGTTCAGTTCACTGTGGCATCCTTGTTTGACACATATTTGGTGGAATCACATACAAAATCTGCAGCTGGTTAAGGACAGACATACATTTGACTTTGTTTTTTGTGTCTTGTCATATTATGTGGTTTGTATAGCAGAAAAATGTTAAACAGAAAGATCTATAAATCAGATCTACAGTATATTGGTTTCCTGTTCAAAAAGTGATTGGACCTTCCATTACAATCTGAACTAAACAGATTTTTCTAGCTCAAAGCTAATAGATATTGAAATTTTACATATTTGTGAAACTCCAGTAAGAATACAATAGCAGTGAGAACACACTGAACTGAACCCTAGTGAAAAGCTTGTAGGTGGCTAGAAATGAAAAGCTAACTTTCAAATGGCAGTCGCAAAAAGAGCAAAAACTAGGGCAGAAATTGTTGAAAAGGGATTGCTAGTCTTCCTACAACCCAATGGGGTTAGGAAATCAGAAGGCAGACTTACCCCATCTTCATTTACAAACCACAATCTAAATATTAATCAATAAGATATGGCTCAGATACCTCATAAGAATAGAATGTGTTCTTGAATCTAGATGTCAAATCCGAACACAATATTTTAATCAACAGAGCACACTAGTTATGAGCACACTTCAAAAAAGCAGGATTTGGGGAAAAGATTTGGCTACTTGAAGCTGGTTTTGGTGATTTAGTTATTATACATTGTAATTTTAAGACTTTTGGCTTTTTAAGTTGGCTGAAGCATTGAATGAAAGGGAATATAAATATGTAAAGAATGTAAAATATAACATAATTTAGTTTTTTTAAATCATATTGCTTACTTTTGAGATTCCACTATGTTACATTATGTTTTTTTCTATTTGCAGAAAAGCCTGGAATTTGTCCAATAGACAGCTGCAGATGCACCGGGCCTCAGCCTAATCAATGCATGAATGATCATATTTGTGAAGGAAAAAAGAAGTGTTGTTACTCTTGTTGTGCAATGCGCTGTGTGAACCCAGCATAAGGTACTTTGGGGAGACATGTGGTACAGTAATTGTTGTATTCCATAAACTTCATTTTTGTGCCTGTCACAAACTATGTCTCTATGAGATATATCCACTATAGCAAAATGTGCTGCAGGATGTCCTGCAAAAACAGTTTTGGCTGTTTAATAAACATTTTCCATGTTCTTATTATAGACCCAATTAGGAAATGGCATTTATAATCCTAGAACAAAACTTGTGTTACATAGTGTAATTGCAAGAAAGTAATAATGTTTTTAAATTTTATTTACAGAATTCCTCTTCATCATCATCATACAGTTGCTGCATACCAGATGCATAACAGCAACTAGCCATGGCTTGTTATTTTTATGAAGACTGAACCAAAAGTGAAATATTTTGAAGATAACCAGGATTTTTGTGTGTGTGTGCTATTCCACCCAAATTCTTCCCTTATTCAAGCATGGTCTAATTCTATCTAATAAACATTTTCAAAAGAACTTAGTTGTCTCTCGTAAATAGATCTTCCTTTTGCTTGAATTTTACAGAGTTACAATATAAAAGTTGTGAAATGGAAATGAGAAAGGAAATAAGAAAAGAAACCGTGGGTAGACAACATCAGGAATCAAAAATTATTCTGGTGAAAATGTAGGTCTCACCATGGTTTCAATCAAGTTTGTGCTCAATATGACCTGCCCATCCTTTACAGAATTCATTTGGGATCCTTCCTCTGTCCTGAAATTACAGTATATTCTGGCGTATAAGACTACTTTTTAACCCTAGAAAATCTTCTCAAAAGTCAGGGGTCATCTTATATGCGGGTGTAGTCTTATGCATGGGAGTTGTCTTAACTCTATATTTTAACTGGAAAGGTTGGGGGTCGTCTTATACGCCCAGTCGTCTTATATGCCGGGATATACGGTAGTCTCCCTGTCCTTCAAAACTCACTAGTGTCTGTCACAATCTCCCTTTCTCCCAACTTATCACACATATGAATGCTCATTCCCATCCTCCCTTTGCATATCCATGTTCACCCTCTTTTTTTTCTGGCCACCTAACCCTGCCTTTGTATCCATTGTGGTTTTACTGAGGACTTGTAGAAATTATGGTTTTTCTAAAGTCTGTCTCAAAAGGCTGTTCCATACTGTCTGGGAGAGGGGAAGGATTTACTTTTTTAAAAAACCCAGAGGTGCTTAGGGCATCTTAGGGCACTTCCAGACAACCCTTTATCTCAGGAGCATCCACATTTTAAAAACGTGGATGTTCCTGTGCACATTTTTTGGAGTGGGTGTCCTGGCAGAACACCTGAAGATGCTCACTCCCTTGCCCACAGCCCCCAACCCCCTTTCAAAAGTAAAATAAACTTACCCAGTCTTCATTACAGTCTTCCCAAAACTCTCCTTGTGCATAGAAATGATGCGCCAGAAGAGGGGGGGGGGAATCGGGAAGACTAATGGAGGCTGGGTATATTTTCCTTACTTTTGAAGTAAGGTTTGGGTGCTATTGGGGGGGGGGGTTCCCACAGTTTTCTGGACTAAAGAATTGGATGTAGTCACACTTCAACAAGAGGATTTTTTCTTTCATGTCAGGAGCGAATTGAGAAACTGCAAACCACTTCTGGCGTGAAAGAATTGGCTGGCTGCAAGGATGTTGCCCAGGGGATGGCTGGATGTTTGATGTTTTACCATCCTTGTGGGAAGCTTTCTAATGTCCCTACATGGGAGTTGGAGCTGATAGAGGGAGCTTAACCAGCTCTCCCCAGATTTGAACCTGTGACCTGTCGGTCAGCAGTCCTGCCAGCACAAAGGTTTAACCCATTGCACCACCGGGGGCAGAATGACCAAAAAAACAAAACCCTGTGATTCTGGATATGGGATGCACAACCTGTATTAAGTAATAAATTTCAAGATTTCTCCTTGAAAAAAGATATTTTCATACCTAACAAGTCTATCAACTGATTAAGCAACATATTGGTGATATAGTGTCTCATAGAAGTAGGGTGCCAGGTAAATCTTCTCTGTCTTCCTTTCTCCACTGACTGTGGGCTTCGATTCTAGGTTCCTGTAAAGACTGAAAGCCACAGCAAGAGGGGGACATGAAGACACTTATGAACTTGCTCTTTGTGCTCAACATAATTCTTTGGGTATGAGAACAAAATGTGACTGCCTCCACTTTCCTTTTCTTCAAGGTTTCAGGGCAACAGTCACAAGACAAGGTCCAACTTCTGCATCCTGAAAATAAAGTAAAATAAAAATAATCACACAACTTGGAATTCATTTCCATAAAGTATTATGATGGTTAGTCATTATAATTAGACATATTTACAGAAATAATTTGATTACGAATTATTGTTAATCAACAGAATTCTTAGATTACATAGTGGTATGCTGTCTCTAAGAATGCAGATTCTGTTGATTATTTATAACCAATAAATAAATTGTTATGTGTCATTATAATGCAGAACCATCACCACAACTTATGGAAATGAATTCTAAGATGTGTGACATGCCCTACTTTTTAACCATGGTGGTCCATGCCCTAAAATAAAACTCATTTGCTAATTGGAGGGAGGGATATTAGAGGCAAATTGAAGTACTTTGGCCACATAATGAGGAGACAGGAAAGCTTGGAGAAAATAATGATACTGGGAGAAATGGAAGGAAAAAAGACAAGGGACTGACCAAGGACAAGATGGATGGATGAATAAATCAATACATCCTTAAAGTGACTGGCTTGACCTTGAAGGAGCTGGGGTGGTGACGGCAGAAAAGGAGCTCTGACATGGGCTGGTCCATGAGGTCACAAAGAGTTGGAAGCGACTGAATGAATAAACAACAACAATATGATGGCTGGTATCCACATAGTTGCTTGAAGAAAATCCCACTTAGATAAGTAAGGATGACAGAGTGTCAAGGAAGATGAAGATGTGATTTCCATTGCTTTCTTCTTTAAAACAACTCGGTAAAAACTTAGCAATGGGATCAAGCCTTTGAGATAGTGCATTAAGGTAATAACAGGAAACCTTCTGGTATGGCTGGTTTGAGATGGTTTTAGCAATTTGATTTTAAAGTGGATACAACTGATTTTAATGTTTGTGTATATTTATAGTTTGATTTATTCCAACATTGAATGTTTGCCATATATATGTTGTGCTCCATCCTGAGTCCCCTTTGGGGTTAGAAAGGCGGAATATAAATGCTTTAGATAAATAAATAAACAACCTAGAACAGTGGTTCTCAACCTGTGGTCCCCAGATGTTTTGGCCTTCAACTCCAGAAATCCTAACAGCTGGTAAACTGCCTAGGATTTCTGGGAGTTGTAGGCCAAAACACCTGGGTACCCACAGGTTGAGAACCAGCAACCTAGAACTTAGTATCACATTCTTAGATGGTGTGTGCTCATGATGAAAGAAAGCATCTATTGTCAGGCTTGCATGAAATAATAACTTCCTTGTTTCTACCATGTGAAGGGAATTTTTACAAACTTACAAAATATAGTTTTTGTTTAAGCAGCCTTGGGCAAGAATGAGGGTTGATTGCTTCTTGCCCAATCACTTCATTTTTGCATTTAAGCAAACTCTCATGGAATCCATGTCCAGTATCTGCCTCAGCTTCGGATCTGCACACCAAAGATTTTAAGTCAAGTTTTCCAATAAGACTAAAATCCAGCATCAGAGAGAATCATGAAGACCCTTTGCAGCTTCCTTCTTTTGAGTAGTTTAGCCCTTTGGATGGAGCTGTCACTAGCAAATATAAAAGGGAAACCAGGTAAGTACAAAATGTTGTTGTCTCCTTTTTCATTTTTCTCAAGAATTTGTGGTAGCAACCAGGAGCCAGTCTTTGCATCCTTAATTGTTTTGAAAGAAAACAAGTGAAGTCCAGTCACAATTCAATTGACACAATTCAAGGAATAAAAGTAGGTGCAGTACTGCTGAGAGATTTGCCTAATTTGATGCCTCAGTCAAATCATGAACTCCTACTCAGAATAGGGAGGGCAATAATAGAATGATGATGATGATGATGATGATGATGCTTTATTTATATCCCATCCCCTCTCCCCAAGGCGATTCGAGGCAGCTGAAAATATATATATATTAATGATCCTAAAAGTGTTTCTTGTGTATTAGGAATCCTTCACAAAGAGACTCCTGGGTGAACTGAACAGGTTTTTAAGTTCACAGCTTAATTTGGCATCCCTTTGCCAAATGTTGCACTTAGGAAAATAAGAACCAACCTAAATAAATCTCAAAATAAAATTAAAATGAAATTATAGGGGCCCTGACCCATCCCTGGGTGTCCAGGCTGGAAAAAAAATCTTCCAGCCATAGGCACATTTAAAGTGAAATGGAAATGAAAACTCAGGTAAGGCAATGGTCTGACATGTCATATGAAGCAAGCATGGTGTTGAGAAGTCCAATCTCTTGGTAATGCACAACCTACATTGGAGAAAATTTCCTTGTCATTCCAGTTCTCCTGAGCAATAAAATGGTGGCCCTTTAAATGCTGCCTGCTATATCTTCATGGGAGCCCCTGGTGGCGGAGTAGGTTAAACCACTGAGCTGCTAAACTTGTCACGGGTTTGAATCCAGGGAGTGGCGTGAGCTTCTGCTGTCAGCCCCAGCTTCTGCCAACCTAGCAGTTCAAAAACATGCAAGTGTGAGTAGATCAATAGGTACCGCTCCGGCGGGAAGGTAACAGTGTTCCATGCAGTCATGCTGGCCACATGACCTTGGAGGTGTCTGTGGACAGCGCTGGCTCTTCGGCTTAGAAATGGAGATGAGCACCAACCCGCAAAGTCAGACACGACTGGACTTAATGTCAGGGGAAAACTTTTACATATATCTTCATGGTGAAAGGGATTAATGGTTTTTCGAAGAAGCAACTTAAGGCCCTTTCAAATTATACATTTATATCACTTGATGTCACATTGACTGCTTCAAAGCCCAGGATTCCATAAAATGCAACCACAACAGTTCAAATGGATGTGTCATAATCTTTTTTTGATAAAACATTGAATGAAGAAAGACGTAAATATTTATGCAAAATAAAAAGATATCATATATTACTGTGTTGAATAAGAAGTGTTCATATTATTTAATTGTGAGATCCCACTATACTACCTTATGGGTTTTTTTCTATTAGCAGGCAAGCCCGGACTTTGTCCATTTGATCGTTGCAAATGCATTGGTCGTGAACTCGATCAGTGTATGAATGATTTTTCTTGCAAAGGAGAAGAGAAGTGCTGTCACTCTTGTTGTGCAAAGCGCTGTGCGCCACCAGAAAAAGGTACTCTGAAGACTCTTTGGTGTGTGTGTGGGGGGGGGGGGGGGGGGGGGGGGGGGGGGATCAGCATGGTATATTAGTTTGAGTGCTGGATTAGGACAGTGGGAAGAAAGACTTGTAATGCCCACTTGGCTATAGAAACACACGGGATGATCTCAGACAAATTACAATATTTCAACCTTAGAAGAAGGCAATGGGAAACACCCTTTGAACAAATCCTGCCAAGAAAATCCTGAAATGGGTTCTCCATAAGTGTGCCGTCGCGCCTGGGGGCTATAGCTCTTAGTGAAAGAGGCATGGACGTGACATCTTTCCCCAGGGGATTACTTCTTGCCCTCCTATAGGAAACTGGAACTCCCAAAAACCCAAAACACTGTAAATAACTCAAAATAAGATTTATTGTTCACAAAGAGTTATTTCTTTAAAGAAGTGAGCTGGAAGCTTTAGAGGGGTGAAGGAAAATATACGTTACAGTCTCAGTCCTGGGTCCAAGGAGTTTGAAGCTGAGAAACCTTTCCAAGTTTCCTCTTTTCTCAATGGCTGTAAATGCCGGAGCAATCCATAACCCCAGTTCAAATGGCCTATGTTTGAAGATTCGGGATCTTCCTCTGGTGCCAAAAGAACCCGTTTGAAGGTGCTTGAGACTTCCAACGTCATTCAGGTTGGTCTGAACATGAAGCATAAGACTCAAGGGTAAGAACCTCAGAATTGGTGCTGAGAGGTAATTTAATCAGGGTCTTTTAGAGTCAAGTCTCTTACTCACGTCCATCTGATAGAAACTCTGATGGCAGAATGAAAAAGGGAATCACTCCCCTCCTCCAGGAAGAGATGGAGCCAAACAATACTGATTGACAGCTATAAATAACCAATCAATCCAACTATACATAAGCAGGGTAAAAAGGCAGGATTAAGCATGATACAACAGTTCAAATCTTGCAACTAACAGTTCTACACATAGGTGGCGCCACTCGTGCAGTCACAATAAGGTCCAAAATGACTCAAAGGTACTTACCTGGTCTTGCATAGGTCACAAGATATTGCTTCATGAGTTATTTTCTATACAATGCAAAAGTACTTACAATTAGAATGCATGTACAAAAGCTAATTGTATCAAGACAAGTACATGACAAATCCCAAGTACCAAAGAATGAGCTGACACCTGCCTTGATTTTTATTACCTAGAATATGATTCATTTATAGAATCTGGAAAGTCCATAAATAGCAATTAGGCTTTCATTGATGATAAGATGGGTCATTGAAAGTGCCTATGTCTGAAAACTGATCTCTTCTTCATGACAAATTAATAGTTCATTTTTTTTTTTAAAAAAAGAGTTTTTGGGCATTAATGGAATAACAATATAATGAGCATTACAAATCTATTTCTGTATTGCTATTATTGTTCTCTATTACAGTGAGACCTGGAAAATGTCCTATTGACCTCATTAAATGTGTCAAGGAAGAAGAGGATCAATGCAAATACGACTCTCAGTGCCCTAAACCACAAAAGTGCTGCTATAATTTCTGTGCTCATCGTTGTGTGAATCCTGTGTAAAGGTAAATAAGCCAAAAACTGGTAAACTTCACATTCTGTAACATTTTTAGTCTTGGCTGAGGAATACTTTAGGAGATTTATGGGCAAGGGACACTTGGCAGTGTATGGGGCAAGGACAGGTTGGAATGCATGTGCAGACAGACATACACCAGCGGCACTTCCTGAATTATTCACAGAACAGGATTTTGTGTTGAGCTTTCATGAAATAATTCCACCACAGTGGCTGCAGGATGAAAGGGGGAGGAAAGGCAGAAATGTAATAGTTGTTTGGAATAGTTGGTTGGAATTTACATAGTTTTTCAGTAGGGGAAATCAATAATTAACGGTTTCAGTGTCTATCTGATCACGGAAGCTGACCATGATCAGCCCTGTCTAATACTTGGATAGGAGACCACCACCAAATGCCAGGTGCTGTAAGTTGGGTTTTCTTAAACTTATTCCACTCATGACCCCTTTCTGCATGGGATTTTTTTTTCTGCAAACTGGGTATATAAGTATATAAGGTAGATATAAAAATCAAACATTGACTAATCAGTCACTCTTTGCAAGTCTTGCTAAGCAGACTGATTTTCCTTTTTATTGAGTACAGCTGAAATGTTTTCTGTAGAGTTCACTGCAAACATTGCATGTTGTTACTACCAGATTCATGTAAACATTCAAACCACCACTGGGTGATGTCAGAAACCTTTTCTTGCTGCCAATTTTTCCTGACCCCCATTGACTCAATTTGGGGTCAGAACCCATCATTTGAGAAGCAGTGCAGTAGACTATATTTGAGAATAAGGAACTGGCAAAACCATCTCTGAGCATTCCTTGCTCTGTGAAATCCGTGGGGCCTCCACACACACACATGTTCACAAATGTATTTTAAATGTTTCATGCAAAACAATCTACATTTTTCTAACTCAAATTTGAATTCTAATGAAATCAGAAGCCAAAAGTATGAGTGTGAACTGTTTCTAGAATCTGTGTAAGCTCTTGCTAAAATAATTGCTTGATGTCTTTTTTCCCCCTTTTTTCAGAGCAAATCTTGATGGGCTGTGATATTGTGTCCTGAAAACAGCTCCCGCCCTCCCTCTTTTGGCTTCAAGAAAAAAATCAGGCATAATTCTAAAATAAACGTTGTTTATGCAGAAGGAATAGTAGTGTGTCTGTTTACTGAGTTATATTGTTTCCTTGCTCCCTATTCAAGTTCAGTGCATGACTGATATTCCAGGAATGAGAACCATTAAGCAGAAATCAACCTGTACTATCCAGGTTCACAATCTACTTATGTACACTGGTATGCAGTGAAGCCAGTAAAATGAAATACGTGTAATCCTTCACATTTTCAGGTTTGAATTTTAAAAATTATTTATTTGTAGATTTGATGAAAATGTTCTCTTTGGGAATCTCTAGGGCCCCTTCTATACTGACATAGAAATCCAGATCATCCACTTTGAATTGTATTATATGGCAGTGTAGGCTCATATAATCCAGTTCAAAGCAGATAATGTGGATTATCTTCATTGATAATCTGGATTATATGGCATTGTAGAAGGGACCTGAGTCTTCAAATATAATTCTATGCTCAGCTTCCACTGGACATTGACATAGGCCCCTTCTACTCTGCCATATAATCCAGATTATCAACGCAGATAATCCACATTATCTACTTTGAACTGGATTATATAAATCTACACTGCATGTAATCCAACTGAAAGCATATAATCTGAATTTTATATGGCAGTGTAGATGAGGCATTAGAGCTGAACTGGAGGACCTGAGGTTTTCTCTAGGCCCCTTCTACACTGCCATATAAAATCCAGATTATCTGTTTTAAACTGGATTGCATGGCAGTGTAGACTCATATAATCCAGTTCAAAGCAGATAATATGGATTATTTGCATTGATAATCTGAATTATAAGGCAGTATAAAAGGGGGTCTCAGATAAAAAACGTATTATTCATTTTCATAGAAGTCTGAAATGCTAGAAAATTTGGAGAGTTTATTGTATTTTAAAATGTAAAAGCACAGGATGGGAAATAAACTTTATGAATTGCAGCTCCCATTAGCTAAGTTGAATGAGCAAGAAGCTTCAGCTGATATGTTGTTCAGGGTCCAGAAATTGATAGAGGGGTAGAAGAAGAAAAAAGGACAACAACAGAGAGTCTTCCAGTGCATGAAAGCAGTTACTGAGAGACCTTTCCAAAATCTCTCTCAGTTACCCTGATTCTGGGGGTTGTAATGCAAACAAAAAGTTACTGTCACATGTTCTGCTTAAAGATAAATTCAGTTACTCATTAGCCAGCAAGTGAACAGATAGCAAGTGCCCAGAGAGGAGATGCCACAAATACAGCTACCTAAATCCCTTTGATGTTTTCACCTGCAGGAATTTTTTGGAATAAATGCATCCTGTCATCCTCGTCAACAAGTGCCAAATATTAGCAGAGTACCAATTTCCCATTTTCTTGATAAGGCTAACAAATAACAGAAAGCTCTCATAGTTCAGCTGAGTTTGCTTGCTATAATATGTTGCTATTATTATAGGCATTCCATAGTTCCAAGAATCAGAATACTGTGAATGCTCATCCCAAACCTGACATTGCATTCTCACTGCACAAATCCAGTATCTTAGAAATTTCACTCAGCCCTATCAAGGACCAATCTCAGCCAAGGTCATTATGACCCATGGCCATTATGTCCCATAATTGAATAGATTCAAACAGGTGTTTATGGCTATGATCTTAGACTGTTAAAACAATAGTGCACTGCTTACAAAGGTAATAATGGCAATGGGAGGGGAAAGCAACTGTTTCCATTGTATGTAATCTCTTAGAATTAAGGCACTCTGGGAGAAATGGTTTGGAAAATTGCCTGACCCATGACGCAGGTGGATATCCGAGTCAAAGGTAAATGTTTGAACCTGCTATGTAAGGTTACTAAACCTGGTTGAGTAAATTCCTGAAGGCTTTCAATGACATCTAGGATTTCTATGAAGCTGCCATTTTCTCTAAATCGAATTGTTTGTCTCAAAGGTCTCATATATTTGTCTCATACATTTCAGACCTATAATATTTCTGCTTTCTTTCTAAAAAAAAATGATTGAATCTTGACAATCTCAGCCGAGCCAGTTTTCACTAGTTCTAAGCAAGTCTAACGGGTCTTCAAACCATAGCTGCTTAAGAAGCACCAGGAAGAACTTTGAAGAATGCTGAAGGAAAAAAAGGACTCTACCACCCAAAAAAAGGGTGAAGCACATGAACAACTCTGAGTGGCCTAAGATCTATTTGTAATACATTTATAATCGGTTCAGATTAAGAGTGCAAGCCAAGCATCAGTCATGAGGCAGATATGGTTCTTCAAATAACTCTGGGACATGTCCACACTGACCATTTAGGCTAGTGTGTGAAAATCAGCCCTCACAGGGCTGATCTGGCTTAACCCGAGATAAATTAGTCTGGGTTAAGTTAACTTGAGGGAAAGCTTGAATCCTGGCCCAGGAGTTAGACTTTCCCCCATGTAGGAACAGTCAACTGGAACTAGCAGCAGCTGTCTTCACCAGGCATCCTCAAACCGCAGCCCTCCAGCTGTTTGGACCTCCAACTCCCACAAGCTTGTTCAATTGTCAGGAATTCTGGGAGCTGAAGGTCCAAACAGCTGGAGGGCCGCAGTTTGAGGATGCCTTGTCTTGACTGTCAACCCGCATTCACCAGGTTCATTCCCTCTCTCCATGTTGCAGCATTTGCTAGCCACAGCCACAGCATCCCACCTGCTTTCTCATGGTCACTCTGTATGATGTCAGACAGAGCACCTGTTCAGTGAGTGGGATGGGAGGTGGGATACCTCTCTCCCAGCTTCCTTAGTGACTCTGGCTGGCATCACCCAAAGAGCTGAAGGCCCTGGTAGGTAGATGTTGAGACTGGCAACAGTCACAACATGGGGGTCAGGGGGGAACCTGTGAAGACACACTATGTTTGGGAAGTCAGGATTCTCTGTTGCCTGCAAGGTGGTTCAGGGGGTCCCAAGTGGGCCACTAAGCAGCCCATTTTGACTTCTCAGATGCCTGGTTGGGTCCACTTCTATAGTCAGTATAGAAGGGTCTGACTCCTTACATTTCCTTTGCTACAAATGCTGTAGCAGAAAACAGATGAGGGATATTTTACACTGCAGCCAGCTAGCTCTCCAGGGAGATACCAGTGTCATTTCTTATGAACCCTTTGAGTTCTACAATTGAAATTGAACCTGTGGAACCATTTAGAACAATGTATTTCAATTCCCTATGCCAGGTTGCTGTAAGATATGTCCATTATCATCCTGTCCACAATGCCTTGCAGTAAGAAAGGACCACTCATCAAAGAATTTGGAGCTTAGGAATGGGGAAAAAAGGAGGAGGGGGAGATCATGGGAACAGTAGATATGGAGCATGGAGAAGGAGACAAGTGAAAATGATGGTATGAAGGGAAAGAAAGTATGAGTCTAAAGAAGTCATTATCAAAGGGGGCCTTTGTTTTACCAATGAGCCTGGTATTATCTACCTCTGGGATGATGTTTGGAATGTCGTGTATCTGTTTTCTTTTCAAGCGCTCGGGCATTCAAATTTCTTTGTCTTCCATATATGGAAAGGTCTGCCCATGATTTAAAAGTTAACCAATTATGTCTGTGTTTCTTATTAAAGAAAAGCGAAACTTAAAGTCAGTATGAAATGTCTGTAGCTACATCACAAAGGGATTTGGGAGTAATTTATCAGGTGTACCTGACTCCTGGCCCCAGTTTTAATAAACTGTGTTTTTCCTTCTCTCAAGAAAGGTTTCTTAGAATCATAGAATCAAAGAGTTGGAAGAGACCTCATGGGCCATCCAGTCCAATCCCCTGCCAAGAAGCAGGAATATTGCATTCAAATCACCCCTGACAGATGGCCATCCAGCCTCTGCTTAAAAGCTTCCAAAGAAGGAGCCTCCACCACACTCCAGGGCAGAGAGTTCCACTGCTGAACTGCTCTCACAGTCAGGAAGTTCGTCCTAATGTTCAGATGGAATCTCCTTTCTTGTAGTTTGAAGCCATTGTTCCACGTCCTAGTCTCCAGGGAAGCAGAAAACAAGTTCGCTCCCTCCTCCCTGTGAGTTCCTCTCACATATTTATACATGGCTATCATGTTTCCTCTCAGCCTTCTCTTCTTCAGGCTAAACATGCCCAGCTCTTTAAGCCGCTCCTCATAGGGCTTGTTCTCCAGACCCTTGATCATTTTATTCACCCTCCTCTGGACACTTTCCAGCTTGTCAATATGTCTCCTCAATTGTGGTGCCCAGAATTGGACACAATATTCCAGGTGTGGTCTAACCAAGGCAGAATAGAGGGGTAGCATGACTTCCCTGGACCTAGACACTATGCTCCTATTGATGCAGGCCAAAATCCTATTGGCTTTTTTTTGCCACCACATCACATTGTTGGCTCATTGTTGGCTGATGTTTAAGTTGTTGTCCACAAGGACTCTCAAGATCTTTTTCACATGTACTGCTCTCAAGCCAGGCATCCCTCATTCTGTATCTTTGCTTTTTGTTTTTTCTGCCTAAGTGGAGTATCTTGCATTTGTCCCTGTTGAGCTTCATTTTGTTAGTTTTGGTCCATCTCTCTAATCTGTCAAGATCATTTTGAATCCTGCTCCTATCCTCCGGAGTATTGGCTATCCCTCCCAATTTGGTGTCATCTGCAAACTTGATGATCATGCCTTCTAACCCTTCATCTAAGTCAATAATAAAGATGTTGAACAGGACCGGGCCCAGGACAGAACCCTGCAGCACTCCACTCGTCACTTCCAGGGTGAAGAGGAAGCATTGGTGAGCACCCTTTGGGTTCGTCCATTTAACCAATTACAGATCCATCTAACCATAGTTTTGCCTAACCCACATTGGACTAGTTTGTTTGCCAGGAGGTCATGAGGGACCTTGTCAAAGGTCTTACTGAAATCCAGGTACGCTACATCCATGGCATTCCCTGCATCTACCCAGAGATCAGATTAGTGTGGCATGACTTGTTTTTGATAAATCCATGTTGACTATTAGCGATGACCATATTTGTTTCTAAGTGTTTGCAGACCACTTCCTTAAAAACCTTTTCCAGAATCTTACTTGGTATCGACGTGAGGCTGACTGGACCGTAATTGTTTGGGTCATCCTTTTTCCCCTTCTTGAAGATTGGGACCACATTGGCCCTCCTCCAATCTGCTGGAACTTCTCCTGTTCTCCAAGAACTCTCAAAGATGATTGCCAATTGTTCCGAAATGACTTCCGCTAGTTCCTTTAATACTCTTGGGTGTAATTGATCTGGCCCTGGGGACTTCAACTCATTTAGAGCGGCCAGGTATTCCTGGATGACTTTTTTCCCAATTTGTGGTTGGATGTCCTCAAATCCCTCATCCACTCCATCTTGCTGAGGTTGAAGATGACTTTCTTTTTGTGAGAAGACCGAGGCAAAGAAGGCATTAAGTAGTTCTGCCTTTTATCTATCCTCTGTCAGCATTGCCCCATCTTCTCCTCGAAGAGCCCCTATTGCCTCCTTGTTCATCCTTTTTTACTGACATGAGAAAAGAAGCCCTTTTTATTGTTTTTAATGTCCCTGGCAAGCCTGAGCTCATTTTGTGCTTTAGCCTTGCGGACCTTTTCCCTACAGGAGTTGGCTATTTGTTTGAATTCTTCTTTGGTGATTTTTCCCCTTTTCCACTTCTTGTGCATGTCTCTTTTGAGTCTTAGCACAGTTAGAAGTTCTTTGGACATCCATTCTGGGTTCTTTGCACTTGTCCTATTTTTCCTCTTTGTTGGCACTGTTTGCAATTGCGCCTTGAGTATTTCACTCTTGAAAAACTCCCATCCATCCATAACTCTCCTGTCTTTTAGTATCTGTGTCCATAGAATGCTGTTCAGTGTTTCCTTCATTTTTCGGAAATCAGCTCTCCTAAAGTCCAAAATGCAGGTTTGACTTGTCTTAGTTTCGGCCTTCCTTTGTACCTCAAATTGCAGGAGCACATGGTCACTTGCCTCTAGGGATCCAACCACTTCAACTGTATCGATCAGGTCCTCTGCATTTGTTAGGATGAGATCGAGAGTGGCTGACCCCCTCCTTGTCTCATGGTACCTTCTGGACCATGAAATTGTCTGCAAGACAAGTGAGAAATTTGTTGAACTTTGTACTCTTGTACTCTTTGTACTCTGGACTGTACTGGAGTTTGTACTCTTGATTAGTTCTTGGGCAAAGTACCCCTTAAAGTCCATGCACATGTGTACCTTTTTGTGCTGTCCCTGACTGAATGAACCCCAATAATATTGTATTACACAGAGGCAGGATGTGTGTGTGTGTGTGTGTGTGTGTGTGTGTGTGTGTGTGTGTGGTGGACTTATGCGTGACATCCATCACACAGGAGATAGTAGAATGCTTTCTTAAGGAGCAGGAAAGGGATGCACTATGTGAAATATACAGATAGAATCAAAAGCAAAGGTCTGTGTTGAGTAAGAGACTTTCCTGTTTCCTCCTGGGGAAAATGTTTTCATAACTAACTAGCCTATTAAGCAAGTTCATGGAGGCATTGTGTTTATAAATAGGGCACCAAGTACATATTCCTCATCCTCATCTTGTATGCTGTGCTGACAGAAGGCTTAAATTCTAGCTTTCTGTAAAGAACAAAAGGCAGTGCAAGAGGTGGCCATGCAAACACTTAAGAACTTGCTCTTTGTAAGCATCTTCATCCTTTGGGTAGAGCTGCCACCTGCAATATTGTATGGGAAAATAAGTGAGTATAAAATATGATTGTCTCCATTTTTATTTTCCTCAAGAATGCAGAGCAGCAGTCACAAGGCAAGATCTAGCTTCTGCATCTTTAACTGTTTCTCTTTTTTTAAAAAAGGCAGTGGGAATCCAGTCACCATTCAATGAATAATATCAAATAGAAATGACTTGAAGTAGTTTGAGGGTCTCTTTATTCAAATATAGCCACCAGGTATGGTTTCTAGTGCGATGACCATCAAGAGAATGTACAGAACAATTTTCAGGTGCTTCTGGCATTTTATAATCTATTAAATAGATGAACAATATTAATCATTACTCAAAATAATAAAATAAAATAATACCATTGCAATTTAGCAACAAAAATAATAAAATTTATTTATTTACTTCACTCTTCTCAGCCATCAGGTGACTCAGAGCGGTTAAAAGTAACAAAACAACAACAACAACAACAACAACAACAACAACAACAACATGTATTTCCTACTCCCTTTCCCGATGGATCATAGCAGGGAACAACATAACACATAATTCAGTTAAAACATCAGTTTAAAAGAATGTAGATACTCAATACCTATTAAAACAATTCGTACGTAATGTGAAAATCGTAATATACTATAATTTTAAAATTGTTCTTGAAAATTATGAATATCTGTGAATTCATGGTAACTAATTCATGGTAAATAATGAATTTATGGTAACTAATTAATTTACAATGGGTTATATCGACATTTTGATGCTATCACCTTCGCTTTTTTTGCAGGCAAACCTGGTTTCTGCCCAATAGATCTTTGCCGCTGTACCGGACCTCAACCAGATCGATGCAAGAATGATTATTCCTGTGGAGGAAAGAAGAAATGTTGTATGTTTTGCTGCGCAATGCAATGCAAGGAACCAGTAAAAGGTACTGTGGAAATAAAGGTGGTGAAGGAGAAGATCATGTTGTAGTACTGTAAATGGATGCAGATCTAAATCTAATATTCCTTCTCTCTAGGTCATTTTCTGTTTTGCATGCATGGATCTCTATCTTAAATCTGCTGCAGTAAAAGCCAACAGAAAGACATTGTTCAGTCTATCTGCTATCATCTCTAAAATCTATTGTTTGTTGTATATTATACACTCTGCATTCTCAAAACTATCCCCCTCTTCTCTAGTGCAGGGCTTTTTAAACTTTTCCTCTCATGATCCCTTTCAGTTCGACAATTTCTTATGTGACCTTGGTATATAAGTAGGTAGGTATATAAAATAAGTATTAAAATCTTATAACAAATCAGCATTTGCAAGGTTTGCTAAACAGGCTAATTTTTCTTTTTATTAAGTACAGTTGAAACATCTTCTACAGAGCCACTTTAAGCACTGAACAAGATATTTGTGTGTATATGTCTAAAACAGCCAGTAAGAGATGTTCAAAAACTTTTAATATTGCCAGGGTTTTTTTGGGACCCCAACAGAACACTGTTTCTTAAACTGTGGGTATCCGTTTCTGTGTGTCTGTCTGTGTATTAGGGGAATAATATGCGCTTTGAGTCACCTATCAATTTATGATGAACCTATGGATTTCTTAGAATTTTCTTAGGCACAGAATATTAGAGGTGATTCTGCCAGTTCCTTCTAATATATTGGCAGCCTCCCACCCAAATATCAGGCTTGGTCTTGGGAAGTTAGACACTTCCCAAGAGCAGAAAGGATCTGGTGCCTTTAAGATATTTAGGTGGACAGAAAGTATAATATTGTTCTTATTTTTGTACATCTTTCTTTTACTTCTCCCTCATCTTAGAAACTCCCAAAGCTCTGTATCACTTAATTCCAAACCCTCACAGGTTTTATCAGTTAAAATAGTATTTCCCTATTCTAAAGCATCCATGCTGTATTAGGTACTTGTTTGTCTTTTCTATGGTACTATTTGCTATATATGAAGTTTTATGATAGTATATTCTATTCCCCAGTGCAGTTATTCAGTGTATCTTGTGTATCCAATCTTTATTTTTAATCCCCTTTTAGAGATTTCTGTGTGAACATAGGTGCTGATTCCAATTGACCTAAAATGTATTATTGGCAAAGGTCACTAAATCCCTTGTAGGCATGGATACACACAGCTATGATTAGTTCATTCATGTGCCCTGATGCCATACTTGGTAACAGCTGTTGACCAAGATCCTACATCAGTATGGCACAGCACAAATTTCCACATTATACTGAATGAGAATGTTGTGTAAATAATAGGGGTGTGCAATTAGTCACCGTAAGTCGTATCAAATTCGTTAAATTCGTACTTATGATGCAATATCTGATGCGTGGAAATAGCCCATGCCAAAAACTTAAGAACCAAAACTTACCCAATACTTTTTTGTTTGAATTTTGTAAATCTCAGAAGCCTCCCAAAGTTTCATTTTCAACACAAAGAAGCAAAGCAAAGCCAAAAAGTCTGTCTTTCCTCTTTAGATTAATTACCTCTTGCCATGAAGAGAGGGAAGCACAGCACAAATTTCCACATTATGCCAAATGAAACTGCTGTGTAAATAATAGGGGTGTGCTATTTTTTCATTAGTCATCGTAAGTCGTATAAATTCATTACATTTGTACTTATGATGAAATATCCGATGCATGGGCATAGCCCACGCAAAAAAACCTTAAGAACCAAAACGTACCCAATATTTTTTGTTTGAATGAGTTTCATTTTCAGCACAAAGAAGCAAAGCAAAGCTCAAAGGCTGCCTTTTGTCTTTAAATTAATTGCTTCTTGCCATGAGGAGAGGGATGGAAGTTCTGTTGGTTAATTTGAGAGTCATTCAATGAGATAGCTGTTGTGGCTAATTTTGTAATGATTTTTGAAACTTTTTTTTAGCAATCACACATGCCTAGTAAATAAATGCACAACTCAATGCACAACAGAATGTGTACCTGAATGCATAAGCCAATGCATATCTGCATGTGCATGACATTGCATACAGCAGACTCAATCTAAAAATGTGAACTGAATATAGGCAGAAAGGTCAATTATGTAGGAGTTGTTTTATAAATCTCAGAATCCTCCAACTAGAATTACATGCTTATGCATGTAAAGTAAAAGTAAAGGTTTCCCCTTGACATTAAGTCTAGTCGTGTCCACCTCTAGGGGGTGGTGCTCATCTCAATTTCTAAGCCCAAGAGCCAGCATTGCGCTTAGACACCTCCAAGAGCATGTGGCTGGCATGACAGCATGGAGCGCAATTACCTTTCTGCCAGAACAGCACCCATTTATCTACTCACATTTGCATGTTTTTGAATTGCTAGTCTGGCAGAAGCTGGGCCTAACAGTGGGGGCTCACCCCACTCCCCGGATTCGAATTGCTGACCTTTCAATCAGCAAGTTCAGCAGCTCAGTGGTTTAACCTGCTGCTCCACCGGTGGCTCCATCTTATGCATGCATAAATCACTAAAAGATTATGGACACTTACTAATGATCTGAAATCTTCCTGAGTGCTTAAATTCTGATGTATTGTGGTCCTGATGTTTTTGGCAATATGCTCCTCAATTCTTATTGACAGTTTATATTTCTTTCATCATGTGGTGTTCCTTTTTTGTTCTTGTTTGGGCAAGGCTTCCAGTTTTGGAAGGAATTAAAATCTTTTCTTTTATACATTCTGAATCTGCTTGTTCAATGCAGTGCCATTCTGTTATTTAAAAAAGCTCCAACCACTTCTTATTATGCCTTTGCTCCATGGGTCCTTTGTCATTTTCCCCACCGATGAAATTTTGTATATAATAGATCAAAATTTACACCACATTTTTGTAAAGATATTTGCCCTTTGAGAATTACACTTGCTAGGAAAGGATACATTAGTAAGGAAGTTGTTTGGTTACCTTCCCATATGAGATGGTTGACCTTTCCTCATAATGATACATCTCCTAATTTGGTAACAGGCCTCAATGTTGAAAAACGGGAAATACGAGGACTTGCCATAAAGACAGTTAGTGAACAGTTGCTAAATGTCTAAGACATCCCTTGTGCAAGAAAGTCTTACATGCTCTTGAAGACAAGAATACCTCTTAATCTACATTCTGTTTCACTTGTGGAATTTCCTTCGCCATACTCTCTGTACCCTTTAGAAAACCTCGGCACCTATTAGCCAAATTCAATTCTTTTCCATCCCCAGATCTCTTAGATTCTTTCTAGGCATTTGCCCATTTCTTGTTGCAGGTCCCCTTGGAAACATCATTATATAACATGGTCTCCAGTCTATGGAATTTGGAAAACTGCAGGGGGAAAAAGATGACCAAAACAAAGTTGGCAGACTCCAACAAAAGGCAGTTCTGTGCAGACATCATAATACAGTTCAAAGCTGGCTTAAAAGTGGGGTGTCCACAAAATGCATATCCCCAATGCATGCTGTAGCACAGATCAAGCCAGAAATAGCATGTTAAAAACTCACCAGAAATGCTAGAATAAGCCAGATAATGTGTTGCAGCCAATAAGAGTATATCCCATGGAGGATTCAGAATCGGGTGATTGATATGTGCATATGTATATCTCAACAGACTGGTTAAGAAATTAAAAATGCTGCATTTTCTAGTGGCTGTAGATACTGTGTTCCCAGGGTTCAGTTCTGGTCTGCAATTAGCAGATACTGTAACCAGCCACCATCCCAACCTCAAACTGGTTCCTGGGATATTTGTGAAGGCAATGAACAGCAAAACCAGTTTGTTTTAATCCACTTCAAAACTGGGTTGTATTGTCTATGTAGAACTTCCCAAACAATCCCTCCATCGCACTACTCATTTTAGGGTTAATTTCTTTTTGCCTCTCCTCACCAACTCATCAGTTGAAAAAATTGGCTCTGATTTATAAAATAAAATACAAATTCTAATTTAGATGCTAAGATTTAGAATACTGAACATGACCTATAAAGTTCTGTATGGAACACCCAAAAAGATACCTGAACCTCTCTTGGTTCTCAGTTGTTCTGTTCTTTCAATTCTACCACCTTCCATGATACCTTTGTTGCAAAAATGGGAGTAGCTGCTCCAGGGCTTTTGAACTCCATCCCTGTGGAGGTGAGAATAAATCCCCAAATTTCCTATTCCATCATGCTTTTAGGAATCAACTGCTAGCGTTCTTAATGGTGTGTTATCTGCTGATTTTTTATCTTTTGATTTTTACTGGATTTGTTTTCAATTGTTTCAATTCCATGTATTCTAAAATTGTATTTCAACATTAACATTTTATATGTATTTATTTCTCTCTTTGTACGTTTTCCAATGAAATCCTTTCTTTTTACTATAACTATAGTGCAAGTTAACTATGGTTTTTGGCTCCATTTCTCTATCGATCTAGAAGTACCTGTCTGATATTTTAATGTTTTCCAGGGAGAAATCTCTGACATAACAGGCGGAAAAAGAACACCTGTCAAAAATCCCCCTCATGCCAGAGATCATTCATGCAAAGTGGGATGGAAACATCAGACAACTGCTTCCCTGGCCCCTTCTACACTGGCATATAATCCAGATTATCAAAGCAGATAATCCACACTATCTGCTTTGAACTGGATTGTATCAGTCTACACTGCCATATAATCCAGTTCAATGCAGCTAATCTGGAGTTTATATGGCAGTATAGGAGGGGCCTCAGTCAACAGGGAAATGGACATCTGGTCTTTACCATAATTTCTTACAGCTAAGTGAAAATTAGGAGACTTTCATGGGCCCTAAGAAACCCCCCAAAGTTGGGTGTAGGGATCATGAATATGTACAAGTTACAAATATGTAATTTTTGTAGCAATTCCCAAAGTTTCCAAGGCATGTTTTTTAGAGCTCTCTGAACATTCACAGAATTTTAAAATGTTATAATGGGAATTACAAATCAATTTCTGTACAGATATGTTTCTTCTTTATTGCAGTGAGACCAGGACAGTGCCCCCCTAATGAGATTGTATGTGTCAAAGCTGAAAAAGATGAGTGCCAATATGACATTAATTGTCCTAGTCCACAAAAGTGCTGTTATAATTTTTGTGCTAATCGTTGTGTGAATCCTGTGTAAAGGTAAATGGAATCTAAAACTGGTACATTTCACTTAAGAGAAAATTCTATAACTGTTTTTGAGTGTTCGCTGTAGGTGGAGCAAACCCAGGCTGGAAGATGTGTGTATTCACACACAAACATATTCCCCCACAAACAAACACAGCAGCACACACTTCCTGATTCATTCATAGAATAGAATTTTGTGCTGGGGTTTGGAAAATAATTCCATCTCACTGGCACGGTTGAGGGCAGAATTATACTCGCTGGCTGGATACACATTATATTGAGGATGCACTCACATTTTTGGGTATGCATAATTAATAAGGATAAAGGTTCACTTGTCATTTTGGAAGCTAAGCGGGGTTTGTTAGAAAACTAATAATGAATTCCAATTGCTTTAGGCTATTTTTCAGAAGAAGAAACTCATCCATACAGCACCCAAAGTGCGTGCCCTCTCGTATTTTCCCCTGGGGCGTTCAGACAATGTCTCTGGGGAAACGAATGAAAACCCTACTTTCTGCTGAGGTAATTTGATAGTGGGTTAAATCCACACCTTCTTGAAAGATGTGAGTTAAACCCATTATGACCGCCGTCTTGATTGTTCCTTCAGAAGCCTGGAATTCTGATGGGGCAGTCCAGACAGCCATTTTGCATTTTCCAGGCACCAACCCCTCCTCCCCCCCAAACCCTACAAAACTCCCAAAAGGAAAAAGGAAACTCACCAGGAGCCATTTGGCTTCTCCTCCTGTCTGAAGGAACATACCAATTATGTCCAGAAAAGAATGGGGAGATAAATCGCTAATGGCTCCCCCTGTCTTTTTGGGCATCGTTGATATGTTCCTTCAGGCAGGAAAAGAAGCCAGATGGCTCCCAGTGAGTTTCCTTTTTATTTTTAAGATATGTTTTTTGAGGGGGGGGGGATTGGTCACATGTCATTCTAGAAATATTCGGGATGGTATGTGGACACCCCTGCCTGGGTGCATTTAAACCCCCTTTGGAGCAGGTTGCTAAAATCCACTCCGAAGTGGGTTTAATGTATGTGTGGAACCGGCCTGGGAAAACTACCTCTGAATATTCCTTTCCTAAGAAATCCCTATGAAATTAATGGGGTCGCTATGAATTAATAGGCAACTTGAAGGCAAGCATGCATACACACACATGTTAACTAATGAATTTAAATATATCATGCAAACCAGTAAATTTAATTAACTCAGAGCTGAATAGAAATTATATCAGAAGCCAGAAGTGTGAAATGGAACTATTCTAGAATCTGTACCAGATTTTACTAAAGTGTTTGATTAATGCCAGATATTTTACTTTTTTCAGAACAAATGAATTGCCTGATTGGCTGTGAAATGGAGTAGGTCTTGAAAACACCTCCCTCCCCACCTCCCATCCTCCACTGGCTTCATGGGGGGGGGGGGACTAAGCATAATTCTGAATAAATTTTGTTTATGCAGCAAAATGGTGGTTCTTTTGTTTACTGAGTAATGTTACTTTGTTGGTCCCTTTTCAAATTCAGCGCATGACTGATATCATGGGGACTAGAACAACTGAATTGAAATCGACCTGAACATACATCAGTTGTGCCATCCAGCTTCACAATCCACACATTTATATTAGTATGCAGTGAAATCAATAAAATAAAATATGGTCAGCCATCCACAGTTGCAGATGCCCCTTTTCCCCACCCAATATGGAGGGCTGACTGTATATACAAACCAGCATGGAATGAGAAACAAAAGTAATGGATTATATTTTCCCCTACTTCTGTTGGCTGAGCGATTCTTGGAAGGGCCCTCGAGAAGAAGGTTCTGATGGTATACTGATGCATTGCATAGAGAGCCATGGAGCAGGAAATTCTCATGGCAGAAGAAAAAAGAACAAAATTCCAATCTTATTCCACCTTGCAAAATTTCTCTTAGATGCCCTGATCCTGGGAGCTGTAGTCCCCAAAAAGTTATTTTCTCAAGTTCTGCTTTAAGAGTTCTCAAGTTCTTCTCTTTAAGTTCTGCTTTAATTTCAGCTGCCCATTAGACAGCATGTGGAGAAATGAGGAGTGCCCACAAGGGAGATACCACAAACAGAGCTTCCTAATCCTTGTGATGTTTTCCATCTGAACAAATGCATCCTGTTATCTTTGTCATTAAGAACCAAATAATAGTAACGTGCCAAATTCTCGCTTTCAAGAGAAGCCTAATAAGGCACTCGGGAAAGCACTCATATGTTATTTATTATTTATTTACAGTATTTCTATCCTGCCATTTTTTTGAACCCGAAGGTGATTCAAGGCGGCTTACAGCCCGGCAACCATTTGATGCCATAACAATAACAATTAAAACAAATTAAAACAATGTATAAAAGCCTGCTTGTTGTTAATACAGTGACCAAAGTCATGATGACTGGATCTTCTTTCAGTATGGACCTTCCTTTAACAGGCCCATATCTTGATCACAGCTTCACTCATGTCTTCCACTGCATACAGTTCTGAGCAAAATGGTTGAAGAAACTTCCCGAAACAGAATGCTGAATTTCAGCTCTGACACAATATATTGGTTGTAGAGTGGAGCTAGAGAAAGTTACATCTTGGACTACAGATCCCCAAATTTCTTAAGCTCCTGTGCAAAGTGGACCTGTTCATTCAAGAAGCCTTGGTCCAGTCACTCTTTCTCTGCCTAATATTCCTCATGGTAATGCTTTCCAGATCAAAAGCATGAAGATCATCCATGTTGCTTTCTGCTCTTTGTAGTATGTGCATGTATAAATGTGAGGCGCACCCTATAAGAGGCAAAGAACTGCCATTTCATATTCAAACTAAAAATGAGGGCTACAAAAATCTTAACATACCCATATCCAAATTCCAGCAACATTTTATTCATTGAGGCATTGTGTAGTTTCCAGGCTGTATGGCCATGTTCTTGCAGCATTTTCTCCTGACGTTTTGCTTGCATCTGTGGCTGGCATATTCAGAGGATGCCAGTCACAGAGGCAGGCAAAACATTAGGAGAAAATGCTGCTAAAACATGGCCACACAACCACACAACACCCGGTGATTCCGGATGAGAAAGCCTTCAATATTTCATTCACTGTACTTCATTCATTGTACCCCACAGATCTTAGGATAATGTTATTAATAAATAGACCCATTATTTTTCCTCTCAACATTCAGCTGGAAAATACAGCTCACATCTGAGGAATATTTTGTATAGATTTTCTGTGCATCATCTGAACAGACTAACAAAATTATAAGCTCAACAAGTCCCACAAAATCTGAAATCAGCACACAAGTTTCAAACTTTGGGACCATAAAACCACAACTTGAGTTGGCTTAGGGTGACACATATGCATGTATACAGACAAAAGCACAGAAACAAAAATCCTACACACTGAGGCAGGAATGTCATGGCAGAGGGAAGATGACTTTGGAGTGACTGGAAGAGGTTTGAATATTCCACCGAACCTCGGTGTTTCAGCCTATTTTGGGTCCACCAGTGGAGCTGAAACATCAAAACTATTTCACATATGCTGCCAGTAGTGATATTCAATAATAATTCTCCAATTACAGAATTTTCGAAACAGAAAATAGCATAGTATTAAATTATTCATATGACTAAAACTCAATAAACGTAAACATTTGTAGACTTTCAGTGCATCTACATTGTAGAATTAATGCAGTTTGGCATCACTTTAATTACCATGATTCAATGCTATGTTATCATGGGAGATGCAGTTTTTCAAGATCTTAAGCCTTCTCTGCTACATAATGCAGGCTCCTCACCAAACTACAAATCCCAGGATTCCATAACATTGAGCTATGGCAGTTATAATGGTTTAAAACTACATTATACTCAGCCATCCACTTTTGCTGATATCATTGTGGCACACAACCCTCATGAAAGTGAAAAACCACAAAGAAAGAAATTGCTAATTTTTTAACCTGATATAACATCCCTAGGAAATTCTGCATCTTCCAGCATAACTCTGTGGTCAACTTGTTCTGGAAGCTTACTATAAAATCACATTAGCAGGTCTAGAGATTCCTAGAGGTGTGTTTTCTCTAGAAATCTTTAGATTTTCAAGCATGACTTGAGGAAGTTGAACTAAAATATGGTCCATGGCCTCACTGTTACTACACTGTTTTAACAAGAGTGACAGCTCTCTCCAGGCATGTAGCCAGGGGGAGGGGGGGGGCTTGAGGGGCTTCAGCCCCCCCCCCCCCGAAATTCTCATGGTGGTTCGCGAAAAGGCCTTACTGGTGCATTATTTAAACTTATGTTTATTCATATCATGATCTGATCACCATACTCAATATATCCCATATGCATGGGGGTATTGGGGTAACGATACAAAAGGTTTGCTAGGGTAGACCCTCTTTCACTCAGATTCAGCCCCCCCCCCAAATCGAAATCCTGGCTACGGGCCTGGGTCTCTCAAAACCCTCTTATAGTGCCGAGGCTTATTGAACATATTTTTCTGTGGGCAAGCAGATGGCGACTACTTAATGGCATAAGTTCTGTATCTGAAGCTAGGGCTGATGTGGTCTATCCAATGCAGGTTTCCAAATCAGCACCTCAAGTAACCAATTGAATCTAAAGTTGACCAAAATCCGATTTGTAACCCTTTTGATACTAATGTTGAAGTGTGGTCCCTGGTCAAGTGGTCCCTGACCAAGTGGTCCCTGGTCAAATAAAGGTTGGGAACCACTGAGGAGCAACTATATTTCTACAGTGTAGACTCACTCTAAGACTACACCTATACTGGCCAATAAATCTAGAGAGGCAATACCATAGTTGAGGTGCCACCACTAAGAAGTCATTCTCTCATGTTGCAACACAGTGTGCCAAAGTCACTTGTGGGATATGGAGAAGCCCCTTTACCCAGCAGACCTCAATCCCTGGGCAGCTACATTAGAGGAGTGGCACTGTTCTTTCGAAAACTCCAGATGACCTCTCCCAGTGGTTTCATGTATATGTTAAACAGCATGGGGATAATATATAATCCCAGATATTTCTCTAGGAGTAAAAACAAAGTTCAGGCTAATACCACAAGAAACAAACAATTAATTGGCAGAAAGAATCTCAGCCAGCATCCTATGACTGCTCAATACAAACTTGACATTGAAGTCTCACTACAAGAGTCCAGAGTCTTAAGAATTTCACTAGTCATTTGAGAAAGAAAGCTATCAAGAATCAGTCTCTCCAAAAGTATGGTCAGTTATGTCCCATAATAAAATAGATCCAAGGAGGTGTTTATGACCACGACCATAGACTGGTAAAACAACATTGCAATGTTTATAAAGGTGATGATGGCAATGAAAGGAGAAAGCAATTGCTTCCACAGAATGCAAGTTCTCAGAACTAAGGCACTCTGGGAGAAATGGTTTGGAAAATTGCCTGTCCCATGACGCAGGTGAATGTCCGAGTCACCGGCAAATGTTTGAACTTTCAAATAAGGTTGCTAAACCAGGTTGAGTAAACCTTTCTTAAAATACTTTCATACTTAACAAGCTAATTACTGCAATTGATCAAACAAACAATATCATGGTGTTTATAAATAAAGCAGCAGGTACTGAAAGGAGGCTTCAGTTCTAGTTTCCTGGAAAGACCGAAAGCTAGAGGAAGAGGGGCAATGAAGGCACTTACAAACTTCCTGCTTATTAGCATCTTCATCCTCTGGGTGGAACTGCCACCTGCAATGTTATATGGAAAAACAGGTGAGTACAAAATATGACTGTCTCCATTTTTATTTTCCTCAATGATGCAAGACACCGTCACAGTTTCTGCATCCCCAAAAGGGAAAAGGGAAAAATAAGTCCAGTAACCATTCAATAAATAACATCAGGTAGAAATGTATTGTAATAGCTGGATGATTAAAGGTGTCTCTCTACTCTTCCACCTGGTTCCCAGGTGGAATGACACAATCCAGATAATATACAGAATACTTTGAAATTACTACAAATAACTTATAATCAATTAATATTATTAACAATATTAATTCTCAAACAGAAATTATATAATTGGAATGTTAGTGTTTACACAGCAACGTAAAAAATAAATTACTATTATTTTATGCCACTTTTTTCTTTCTTACTCAAAGTGGTGAACAATACTAAAAACACTACAATATACAATTTAAATACTAAAAACTAGAATTGCTAAAATAGAATTAAACCCAGAGCTGTCTAAAATGAATGATTAAAACCATCAAAAGATTTCAAGCTATTTAAAATATGGAGAACACTGCACGACAGCCCCAGGATAGGTTTTAAAAGCTTTCTTCTTGTAAAGCCTGCCTGAATAAAAAGATTTTAGACTGCCAATAGAAGGATAGCAGGGAGGCGGTCAATCAGGCTGTCCTAGGTGGTGAGTTGTTTTTCTTGTTGTTGATAGTATTTATATTATTTTACTCCCCTCTCCCCATGAATTCAGGAAGGGAACAATAATATATGAAACCTCAACATACGCAATCGGTTTATCTGGTTTAAAGAGCAGTTTCAAAAGTGGTCAATTAATAAATATTTAAATTGCTAGTACATAATTTAAAATTCATAATTTGAAAGTAATTTAACATTAACATTGTTCTTGAAAATTATAATGCATTGATGGTGACTAATTAATTTACAATGAGTTATATCTATACTTTGATGCTATCTCCTTTGCATTTTGCAGGCAAACCTGGTATCTGCCCAGTAGATGCTTGCGCCTGTCTTGGTCCTCTACCAGATGCATGCAAAAATGATTATTCTTGTAAAGGAAATAAGAAATGCTGTATATATTGTTGTAAAATGCAATGTATGCCACCAGCATAAGGTAATGTGGAGTTTGAGATGAAACAGGAGGAGTAATTTTGTAGAGCTGTAGATGGAGGGAAATATAAATCTAACACCCCTTCCCACTATGCCCCTTTCTGTCAATGCTCTTAGTTACTTATTTTGTATTAGGAAGAATTGTGCAAGGTGGTATTAAAATGTGTTGATGGAAAATATTTTTACACAACTCAGAAGTATGTTTCATAGTTTGGTGCTCATTGTAATTAGACATAATTGTAGAAACAATGTAAAGGTGGGTTTCTATTAAACAGAATCTGCATTCGTAATGCCAGTATATCACTCTCTCCCAGGCAGAAAGCAAGAAAGGGCTGAAGGGGAAGGATTTGAGAACTGTAGCTACAAAACTCCATTTCCCAAGCTCTAATCCTTTGTAGGTTTCAGCAGAGCTCTTTTTAGGTTGCCACCACAGCATTGTTGCTCTTGGGTGAGGCAACCATTCTGCTGTGACCATTGTGATCTCATGGTTGACACGTTGGAGTTGACTTTGAGGGATCCAATATCAAATCAATGCAATGCTAAGTGCCCTTGAGCCATCAACTCTCTCCCACACAATGTCTTTCATGGAGTATAAAAAGAAAAGGAGAACTACATGCACTACACTATGGTGCTAGGTAGTGATTTCTGGCCACAGCCTTCGCCGACCGCCTTTACTGGTAAGCAGCCACTGCATCATGGGACAGGTTATTCCCCTGCCAATCAAAAAGTGGTTGCCTGACATTTCTACCCTTTCCTGTGAACAATCTTTGGCATGATAAGAATCATTATATTAAGTTCTCCTCATGAAATCTTAGAATGATAGAGTTGGAAGAAACCTCATGGGCCATCCAGTTCAACCCCCTGCCAAGAAGCAGGAAAATCACATTCAGAGCACCCTCAACAGGTGGCCATCCAGCCTCTGTTTAAAAGCCTCCAAAAAAGGAACCTCCACCACACTTCAGGGCAGAGAGTTCCACTGCTGAACAGCTCTCACAGTTAGGAAGTTCTTCCTAATGTTCAGGTGGAATCTCATTTCCTGTGCTTTGAAGCCATTATTCCATGTCCTAGTCTTCAGGGCAGCAGAAAACAAGCCTGCTCCCTCCTCCCTATGACTTCCTCTCACATATTTATACATGCTAGAGATCACTTAAGAAAGGTGGGGTGAAAATGTCAGGCAACTTCCCTATGTACAAAGGAATGGACCTGCATTCTTCCAAGAAGCTGCTTACTGGAAAGAGGGATGTAGGGGATTTTCATGGTTCCTAAATGCACACATGTGCTCACAAAAAGTGTTTAAAATATTTCATGTAAATCAGTCTACCTGGAATATTTATCTAACCCACATCTGCATACTAATTAAATCAAATGCCAAAGTGTAAGTCTGGACTGATTCTAGAATTTGTGTGAAATTCTTGTACTAAAGTGTTTGATTGATGACAAGTTTTTTTTCCTTTTTTCAAAGCAAATTAATTTCCTGATGGGCTGTGAAATGAAGTACGGTATCTCTCGAAAATGACTCCTTCCCTCCCTCTATTGGCTTTAAGAAAAAAATCAGGGAAACTTCTGAATAAATTTTGTTTATGCAGCAAGATTAGTGGTTCTTTTGTTTATTGAATCCTGATATTTCTTTGATCCCTTTTTACTCCCTTTTCAAGTTCAGTGCATGGCTGATATCACAGGGACCGGAACCATTGTGCAGAAACCTAATTGTGGGTACATTAACTGCACTATCCATGTTCACAATCCATTCTCGTACATTGGTATGCATTGAAATTGGTCAGCCATCCACATTTATGGGTTTGGCTTTTGCAGATTTGATAATTCACAGATTAGATTAAAATGTTCTCTTAGGAATCTCTAGGTTTTGCTGTGAAATTCTTCGATGGTCAGCTTTCAGTGGAATTTTTCTGAATCAGGCATGTAGCCGGGGGGGGGGG